TTTTCCCATGTTTGAGTAATTTTAAATCTGCAAATATCGATTATGGACACGCTTCGGGAACAAAAGCACTGCCCGATACGCATTTGAACTACCGTCCTCTCAGGTGCTAGGTCACGCATTTAACTAAAAGACCACAATGGCTTACAGAATTCGTTTTCATTGGCTGATCATTAGCGACACTTGTGACTAACAGAACGAGCGTATTTGTACTGTACAAACCGACCAGCTGCCTAGGTGACTTTAGGATGTATAGTCTTACTATGACATGCACATTAGCATCAAGGTAATTAGATAGTTAGTCTATAAGACTATGGCAGCTCGCGTACAATTGAGGTTGTTCACATTTACTTTGGTTAAGCCCTTTTGCTAACTTATCTGGCGGATAGAGTCATTCGTACAATAACAACCATTTTACCTTTATTATCGTTGCGCTTGTATGAATATATATGTTTGAGCATTGCTTACTGCCTACGCATATATTCATTCTGCTACCCTTACCATCAGTCGCTCAATTGGTTTGATGATTCATTCAATTCACTATATATATATATTAATCATGCTAGTTGACTCGCTCATTCAATTCGCAAGCTCACTCGCTTGCCTGCTAGCTTTTCAGCACTGCTCTTTCATGCCTGCTTAGCGTACATGTAATTTTGGTTATCCGTGTGTGATGCAATAATAAATTTAATCAACGATTCATATTCGCCTTCTGATTAATATACTGTCAGGCCGTTATCTAGTGACAGTTATCAGGACGAGCTGTATACGAAGTTCAACGATTATATTAGATATCAACCACTACAAGACTATGATTATGTCGCCGATCCTAACATGCCGATTCGATTCCAGAAATCTGAGCATTTTTTTGTTTTATATATTTGTATTCTTATTATTCCTGGACAGACGACAATTTATGTACCTGTAGTTATGGACCGAGTTTTAAAGGGCGGTCGTCACAAACTCAGGGTCATGTATCTAATCGAGTTACGCGATGAATTCAACTTCTGGAAGGTTTATACTGATATTTTTTATTCACAACGTAACTTTTATGCTTAGTGAGTATTCGTGTTTAAGATGTCCACACTATGTTTATTTCCTACCGGATTACCAACACGTTCTGTGAAGTCAAACACTTGTGTAAAACACGATATTTACCACTTATAATTGTGCATCCTCTTTTTGTATCTGATAATTTTGTGCTGACAGTGCAGGTATTCTTCAGGTTTTAATGACTTTAGTTCCTTTTTTGAGGCAGATTCCTCTTTGGTTTTAACTATGGGTGACTCAAGAGGAAGGCGCGTAGACGCCTCGTAGCCCGCAGATCATGGGAAAATCATACGTCACCAACATGGTGTTCAGTAACCTGCTCACTGACCTTCATCAGATAACCTTGTTTCATTTTCTTACCTTTTATTTTCTTACAAGCTAGATTCTCCATAATGAGGGCACGTTCACTAAGTCATGCTCGATAATTTGTGAGAAGGTAAGTGCTACTAAATAAGATAACAAGCTCGTGAGATATATGACATCTACGAAGTAGCCCTGAATATTGACTGGGCCGTGGCCGTCATTGATTGGAGGTCAAGTACTGAGCGAATCAGTAACTCTCTGTTGGACTGGGGAAACAGAACCGAAATGTCATTGCTTGATAAACTGATCGAACCTATATTCCTATGGAGGTAGATTCCAAGAGGAAGCTGACGTAACAACATAGGCTGATTGGTTGAGAGTTGGCTGAAGACATCTGAGCGATATCAAAATACTATATTCCAAATATTCACTCACTTCCTCATATTGTTTAGATATTTGATTTGATTTGTATTGAGTGTTGGAAACGTTATGTGCAAAAAAACGTCGCTCTCCAAGTGCTCAGAATAAAGATCTATTCAACAAATAGTCTGGTTTCCTCAAAAGAAGAGTATCTACCGACACGAAAATCCCAGGGTTATTCACTCTTTATATATATGTAACTTGGTGACAACTATGGAGCATTATCCACTTGTAAACATTTACGGATACTACAAAATTCTAGACCATTCACAAGATTTCTGATGATTCTGAAGCTCCACTTTACAAGTTCCTGTGCATTTGCTTTTCAAATATTTGTGCTACCTGACACGTCGTTTTGGATAACCATATGGAAAGACAGAATCAGAACTGTATGGCCACTCCTACCTAGGAGTGACATTTAATCGCTAACCCTCAGAAAACCAAACGGTTTTAACTGATATATTTGACTAAAAGATACGACTTTTAAAATGAATATCCCAGTTTACATAATAAATAGGATCGTTCATGTGAAGAACCATTTATTTACAGAAATTTTTACGACAATTTTCAACAGTATTGAGAAACTGAGAGTTCAAGCCCCTTATTTCGGTTATAAATGATAAGAATTGTCACCCGCAATTGAAACCACATAAAATTCCTGAGCTTCGAAAGTGCTAGATAAACAAGAATGCTTATTACGACTGAGTCCTAGTATTTAATAAGTAGCAATGTATGAGAGCTTTTCTAAACGACATGTTTTCCGTATAAACTAACCAGATTTAATTCAATTTATTGATGAATTCTCCAGGACTTTTCGCTCTGTTATGAATGGAATAATAAAAACTTTCAAGTAAAAGCACACTGAAGTTATACTTTAGCATGAAGTTTATGATATTATTCATTTAAAGATTCCCGTCATATTAAAAGACTAGTATTTGAACGAAGAATATTCTTTTCGATAAATTCTCTACAGGTTCTACAATTATATATCCAAATTAATAATGCGAGAAATGGCTATGGGTTTACCACTGGGCCCTATACTAGATGATATTTTTCTAGCCAAACTAAAAATGGTCCACTAAAAAAGATCATTCAAAACTTCACATTTTACTGTAGATAGGTTCATCCTCAGTAAAAATAATACGTCGCCGCAAGAGGTTCTTAGGCGATTTAGTGAAGTGTGTGGCAAGCCCATTTGACTACTGTATCATTTATCTAGTCATTGTAACTCAGACTCAATTCACTATGTTAATTTCGGTGTGTAAGATCGAAAGTATGTCTGTACATTAACGCTTAAGCTATCTTCCTATTGGTCTCAATGTTCAGATAATCGATAATCTATCCACACCCGATTAACCTTCAAATATATATGGATTTTTAACAGACTCACACACACTCTCTCTGTTTCATCGTGTGCTTACTCACCGTACGCTTGTGGATTATTATTATTCATTATTAATAAACTATCTCTATAACTGGTGTTCAGGCTTTTTAATAATCTCGAGTAGATTCGCAATTCTACTAGGAGATTAAGCCTACCTAAAATACTCAGTTACAGGATATTATTGTTTGGAGTCAGATATTGAGGACATTAGCCTCAACAAGTGCATCCAACCATTCAGTTTACATGTGAAGAGAGTGAGGGCCGAATAGTCTTTTTGGACGTTCCCTTGACTAAGAGAAAGGATGGATCGTTAAAAAGGAAATTAAACAGAAAAAGTACATGCACTGGGCAGTATACGAATTTCCTGAGCTTTGTACCTCTACAGTACAAACGAAACTTGATCAAAAACCTTAGTTACCGTATCCGGACTATATGTTCTGCTGATGTAATCGAACAAGAGCTTAACACCTTGCATAATAGTCTCAGGGGGAACGGCTACCCTAGAAAGTTTGTCATTAAATATATGTTCACGAAGGCGAAAGTAGGCGAATTACAAACAGTGAAGAAGAAATTCTTGTTCATCCGTCCACAATTTAGTGAAATACTAACTCAGAGATTGCGTAGGACAATACAAAAGTCTTTTAACGCCGGAGAACTTCGATTAGTATTTTCTACGCGCCCAATGGTAATTTTTGCCAAAACTGGTCAGACTGAAGGTCCTTCAAACTGCTGAGGCAGTAGCCATCCGGATCAAGAAACCGGAGCTATGCGTACAGGAGGAATATATTCAACCACTCCTCCTCCCCTGGTCAACATCAAGGCCGATTAATCAGTCGTAATCTTAAGTATTGAATGACCTCATTTGACTATGACCTTTCGTAGTCAATTGTAATTGTCCCTGTTATCTTCGTTCATAAATCTTCGTATTATTGTTACTCGTATAATTGGTTAGACATCATTAATCGTTCATTCACTTCGCATTCATCCCTCCGTATTACGTCTTACTTATTTGATCGAATTTTAATTGCACCATTATTTCTCTCTCACCTTATTTGACCCATATTTATTCTGATCATGGATCTTAAATCTAACTTAACATATACGTAGATTCAAGTTAACATTCTATATGATTCATAATAACACTAACAATTTTATTGTATTTTGTTTATCACAATCCGAAATTCACATGCTTTAAACGATGTACTTTGCCCTTAACCTGGCCATTTTTCGGATTATTAATTTGGATTTATGGTTGTAGAATCTGAAGAGAACTTATCGAAAAGAATATTCTTCGTTCAAATACTAGTTTATCATATTATAATTAATTAAAACATATCAACATTAACTGGCGTGGCAAATAATACGACTTGCTTGTTAATACCTGAGAGCGATAATTCAGTTCATAATCTAAAAATAAGCCAACATGAATCTGTTTAACAATGGGATTATAACTATACTGTGTTTAAAAGGCTTGAAAGACAAGATTAAAGCTGATGTAGCAATCTCACAGATGGAGCATGAACCCAGGAATAGATCAAGATTATTTGTCATAAAGTATGAGCTAAAACTGTTCGAAATGCGTTAAAAACGTTAAAATAGCGAAATCGGAGCATCAATCTGAAAAATGTCGATTGCATAATGTACACAATATCACGCTTCATGTGAACAAAATCGACAGACATTACTTTCAACCATGCTACTGTACTTTTTCATAATTTATCTATATTTATATTTCGCCTGTTAAATATACTTAGTTTCTAACCTGGATGCATCAGTGATCTATTACGCCTATAAACTGCAGTCTGTTAAGCGAAAGCTTCTTTTATTCTGTTCTCTTCTATCTAAGCTACTCGGTCGCGCCAGATATATGCGTTGCGTTACTTGTGCTTTTTGCGTTTACTCAACAGAGACCTTTAGCTGTTGAAGTTCAGCCATAGAGTAATATAATATTCCGTATGCATTTGCTTGAAATTAATTGGTTTGAGTTCAATAGCTAGTTACTTGGTTCAAACGATTTCGAGAAATTCCAGTAGTGCACAAAGCTGTCACAAAATTATGGGTTACTCAATTATAATTAAACATAAAAGTTTAAGTAAGCACTTGACGAGATGCTGCGGGTTAACGGGAAACTGTATGCATATAAAGTTTCTCTGCTTTCAAGTACTATATTCATAACTATTGACAGGCTCCCACATTTTGGTGATTCGCTGGAAATTTCACTAGTTTTATCGCAAATCGTTATGATCTCATGAGATCTTTTTTGTCTCCCTAAACTTGTTATTTTAAAAGCAAGATAGCTTAATGATTGTGATCGGGTCACCTCAAGTCTTCACTTAAGAAATAGAGTCTATTTGGTTCAGATAATCTACTGCCACTCGGAAATATCGGAATGTTGTGTTTTGGCGTGTTTCAAGTTCTTCAAAACTATTCCACCAGCTTACATTCTTTTAACTGGACGGGCTGCTTATATATTATACTCTAATTGTGGACAAAAAACACCCCAAATTCATATGCTCCTTGATATCTCGGTGATCGAGTTCCTCAATTATTGCCTAAGATGTTCGTGGATGCTTAACGGCTGTAAGTCATCACTCTCCAGTATTTTTCTCGCCCTGACTGACAGTAAACCTCAGATTACTTAACATGGGTACGAGGATGTTTCTTAATGAGCTTGAGGACATCTAATAATATTTTTCAAATGTGGGTTCATACTTGTAAGTTTTCTTGATCTTTATTGTGTACCATAGTACCCTCTTCGTCTTGTTCCCCCCATATATTCGCCTTCTAATGAGGCTAACAACAGCAGAGGACTTGCAAAGTTATCCGCTTATAAAATAATGACTGCTGACACCCAGACCATAACCTGGATAAATTTACTAAATATTTTTCAACCATACTTTATGTACACCCAACAAGAAGGTTATCTATTCGTATAAGACATTCACTCAAGAAACAGTACCACTGTCCTTTTAAAATAGTTTTTTATCAAAATATTAAACTGGATTGCTTGTTATTCGGTAGCCTTAGTTTTGTTTTTACCCTTCTAGATTATTGTCCTGGCTAGGGAACGACGGTTGTTATATCTGTGCACCTTGCTCTTGTTTTCATATACTTAAGTGCCCCCAACCTGGACACAGGCATTTCAACTATTGGGAGTCGCATAATGTTAGAGGATGAGTTCGCTGAGCTGGACGTGAGTGTTCTGTCATAATTATGCTTTTTTTTAGCTAAATGAAAACTCTGAAAACTCTTTAAATGTACCGTTGAATTCTGAGTCTTATCTGCGGACAGGTTTCACACCTGAACGAAATGTCACACATGACATATCGCCCATTGACACTGGGAAAGAAACTGTAGTATGTTCAGCCTTATTTTGATGAAATTCAGAACACTGTTTCCGATGTTGCATTTGTAAAAGTCACAAGCCCTGCAAAAGTTGGTGAGGGTATTTCGTCATACATAGTATATCGTGTTAATACAAAGGTTTGTGATCATAATGACATTATTTTCAAGTTTAATGGCAAGGAATTTTCAGTCCTCAGACGGTTTTCTGATTTCCTTGGGTTACATGAAAGGTTAGTCGCGAAGTATCTTTCTGAAGGAGTTATTGTTCCCCCTGTTCCTTCTAAAGATATGCTAGGTAACGGTTTAGTTTTGTTTTATGCTCTTCAGCTACAACTAAAGTTAAAATGTCAAAGGACGTTTCTGCGGAAAATGAATTTGTTGAACGTCGCCGAATAGCTTTAGAACGGTAGGAATTTTGTTAATAATTTCACAGATTCCTATCACGAGTACTTTCACATCCAGTTTTACATATTGATGAAGATGTCTGTGAGTTCCTTCGGCATGAAGGAGAGCTACCACGTGCAACAAACACCCAACTATTGTCCGGTGCTGCAGCGATAAAAGTGATGAAAAATTTGGGTGATGCGATTGGAAAGTTTGCTTACAAAGTTGATGATCCCGAAGAGGTAAGCACTGATAAAACTGTTTGAGGGGTTATTTTATATCCAATAGTATGATAAATTGTATCGTTCATTAAATATTGATAATTTCTTTCCGTTTCTGTGAATCACTCGGGTAGAAAAAGGATCTATATAGAATATTTTGGAACTGGTAATACTAAATATTTCAAGGAATTTACTTTCCCTAGTGACGAGAAAATATAGTACAAGAGCTGATACTACCTGCTTGTACAAAATCTTTTGGATAAGCTGACACATGAACCTGCCCCTCTGCATCTAAAAGTAATTTGGCCAGGTTTCAGAGCCACATATCAGTGGTTAGTATATCCGAAAGTAATAAATTTCGGGAATTTTAATTCTGAACGATTACCTAGTCCACAATGCTTATCGTACATTTCCAACAAAATCAGCTATCTTATCCTCGAATTGTGCAAAATACCAGGGGAACTTCGGTAGATCGGGATGATTAAGTTCTGCGTTATGTTAATGTTTCTGAGTTTACACATATGATGCGCCTGTTTTGGAAATCATTCATGTAACTCATTTACCAACTGTACAGTTTTGTGTATTTGACTTCGAGCTATACTGTCTGTATGAGGGATATCGATAGTAAATCGCTGCTCAAACTGCGATAAGCGGGATGGTCAGGAATTATGACCTGCTGTTTGAAAGTCAAGTGCCTTAAGTACTTGGTTACTGCTTCATGCAAATAATATACAGTCAATCTAGATAGATCGTTGCTGATTTTTCAATCACTTGCCACTAAATTTTGTCAGACTAGAACAGAAAACACTTAGTCTTCTATACTATGAAGTAATTCATGTCAGATTATGCATTTCATGAAGTCAAAACGATGTGCAAAATGGAGCGCTGTAGTGCGCTGGTTCAGGTTGGTTTGCTTCACAATATATAAAAAGAAATAACGATAGGAAAAAGAGGCAAGTAACATTGTACAAATAGATGAAAGATGATGTGTCCGAAAATTATGAAAGGGTAGAGAAAAAATGGGTCGGGATTTCTGTAACCGATTTCAAACCCTATCACTTAAGTTCTCTGGATACTGAATTTCATCCATGAATTAGTCGTTGTGCATGATAGTCCCTATTTAGAGAAGGTTTTGTTAAAACCTGTTATAATTCTTCGAAAGGTTAGTTCAGTGGCTTCTTAAACGACTGTATTGCTTACAGTATGGACTTGCATTTAACCGGTTAGTTCTAGCCTTCCAGGTTAACAAAATAAAGCATCCAAAACAATTACGTCGCATTTGCCTCTTATTAGATTTTATCATGGTTCATACTATATGGTTTTCAGAATACTGCTGAGGAGGTAAGTTAGTCCCTAACGTCCATTGGCCACCATCGTTTTAACACTACAATTCATTGAATGTTCATTTTAAAATACAATTTTGAAATATATATCATTTGCACTTCTTGATGAGATGCTTTGTGTTGTGATTTCCATTTCATTCTTTTTCTGATTCATATTAGTAGTTCAGTATTTTTTTCACTAATAATCTTATTAAGACTTAAACAGATGTTCAGAAGCTTTAAATTTGCCTGATATTATTTGAAAGATGTAGTACAGTCTGTGGTTTTCATTTAGACTCAATAACTGGTATACGGTACATCGGCAATTTAATTCTATGTCAAACACTTTGGCGTTTGTTCATTTTCCTTTAAAAACGGTTTAGCTGATTGATGAGCCTCAAACAGGGCTGAGACCACGATATTTGAGTTTTGGAACGATTAACTAGTAATTTTAAGTGATTTGTCATGATAATCTCTACAAGTCCTATAATTATTAACCTCATTAGTGGCTACATTTTTAGAACGTATTTGTCACTGCAGTAACTGGATCCACCATGGATACAAAGATTGTAAGTGGAAAAAATGGAACTTAAGTTTTAAAAATTTTTCAAATAAAAATTGTAGAACGTTTGGCTTGTTTCATACATAAGTTGTAGATATTGTAAGACTGCGTTTGATTTCAGCTACGTTTATGCGACTGACTAAATGTAATATAAATACCGGGTTACTAGTCAGCAAGCTAAGAAACCAAAGCCAGTAGAGGCATCCATTGTATAGTGGTAATCATATACCTTGTAAAAAATGTGCTGAATTATTAGCAGAGTACGATTTCTACCTTTCAACGTGAAGTATATGGCTTACGATATTAAATGCTAGTTTGAGATCCGTAAGATAATAAGACATGGTAGAGCAGTATGTGAACTCTGCAGTTTGTTTATTTACACCTAATAATCACGTTTTTATTTGGGAACCTAAGTTTGTGAGTAGTTTCAACTTCAATAATACACACTGGCCTTAGTTTCTTAGTTATGACACTGGAAATAAAAGTCTCACGAGTCATATTCATTACCCGAATAAAAACTTTCAATTCATGACCAGTTTCGCTAGTGTTTTTGGTCGTATAATAAGTATATTTTGCGTGTTGTCAACTTTCTGTCGTTTCATTGTTTTTGGTATTATCAGTTTCAAACTAAAAAACATGATTAATCGATTGATGGTTTATTGTTACAGTGATAACTTGTAACCAAGAAAATAATATTTAGGTATCGTAAGGTGCACGATAGTACAATGGAACTGATATTAACATATGTAGAGTTTCACTAGACCTTTATGTGGTTATTTCCAAAACACACTGGGAACGAAGAAGGTTATGGCCAATCACTGAAGGATTTTAAAATTAGGTAAATTGCTTTTAAACGACTATAATGTTTAGCGGTTTCCATCCTTATATGAGTTTGGAATCGAAACTCTCGGTCTATCAAAGTATGATTTAATTAGTTATGAGGCCTGTAACTTAAGCACTAAAATTTAGTAATGTTTTATGACTGAGATCAGATAAATAAATCTTATATTCAATGCTTAATCATTTTTTCACCTATAGCTTGCCGACTATATCTAGTGTCTTGATTGTATTTACATATAAATCCATTGTGTTGCATGTATGTGCTTGAAAAATCAAATGCTTTACTGTTGTTTTGATAAATTTTTAATCAGTGTATGGTTATAAATTATTTCGCTGTGCAAATCAATTTCGATCTGTTTTCCTAATATGTGATTATATTTCACGGTCTCCCAGTATAGTCCTTATTTTTTTAATCGGTGCAATGTTAGTCGAATGATGTATTATTGATCAAAAAAATAATTGCTTCTTTCGTCTAAACTGTTTCTCAACTACATAGTTTCATAAGTTATGATAGTAAATTCATAAGAGTGAATTCTATAGATAAAATGTTTTTAACTTAAAAGGCCATAATACTATAGAACTGCCTTTTACTAACATCGTATATGTAAATGATTGGTCTTAGGGAAATAGTGAATGAATTAATTCTCAAAAAGTATAGATTTTGTATACGTGATTATCTGCGCCTGGTGAAACGAGTATGAATTATTCAAAAACATACACGTACTATACATTCGTATTTTGTAGGGTTAATGTTATATTCCGTGCTTAAAATAATGATTACTTTAAAAATCCCAATAAATAATGCCAGAGACCTTAGGTAAAACAGTTTAACATGTAGCTAGTGCACTAATGGTAGGTTTTAAATGTATTGTTTGGTCTTGTATACTCTGTATTTTTTACTGATATGACGAATGATTCAAAGCTATTTAAAATCTCTTGGGACCGAGAAAAGGACAGTGGCTGGGTAAATTTGAAGTGTTGATTCAATACGAAAAAAAGTTTGGGAGTTTAATTCGACTAATTAGGATGCCGGGTTTTTTCTAGCTACAAACTAAATCGAGACCAAAGATAAAATCTACTTTATGGATTGCGTGTATTTAAATTGTCCTGCTGTTTTTAACTGGAATCATTAAATCTGTCTAACTAATCTTGTTACGATGTTTCTGTATCGTTGTGAGCCACTGAGTACTGTAGTGTCTTAATAAAGAAGAGATGCGCTTGACAAGCACGTGTAAAGTTAGCTTTTTCTAATTTTAAAGGTGGCATAATCCACGGTTATTTTTGGTAACAAGTATTCGCTAAAGCATAAAACTGAGCCCTATAGTACTCTATTTAAGTGTTAAATCTACAGCATTAAAATTACGTAAGTTATTGATTCACATCGAAAATATTTTTTATAATAGGTTGTATAAGTAGAAGGATCCAGTAGATATTGTTAATTTCAGTTGCAGCTTCTCAATTCGTAGTTGTTTTCAAGTCGTGACTTACTATTACCCCTAAGTCGTTATGTTCCTGCACGCATGGAAGATATGTACCGTCGTTAGTATGCTGGTAACTGCTACCGTGTCCGATGTGCATGAGAACACTTTCTAGAACTAATTTCTAAGCCCCAACATTGCGACCATCTAACTAATTCGTTTAGTTCAGTTTGGAAAACAAATGATCAGCCGTACTCCTTACTATCCTCCAGATTTTTACATCATCTGCAAACAACAATATCGACGACCTAAGCAATAGCGGTAATTAATTGACTTAGAGAAGAGAAAGCAGGGGACCTAAGATGGTACCTTGGGGTATACCACTTTTGACCAGCTTCCATTCAGATAGTGTCCCATTAACCCTCAACCTCTATCTTCGGCCACATAAAAAGTTTCTTATTCGTTCCTGTACAGCACCTGTTATTCCAAAGCTCGATAGCCTCTGCTTTAGACCTAGGTGAAAAACGTTGTCAAATGCTTTGTTAAAGTCTATGAATATCGTATCGACAAACAGGTCATTATCTAGGGTCGCTGTTCAATCCTCTCTCGCAATAAGTTGGTCAAGCATGAATGCTTGTCTCGAAACTCGTGTTGCTCGGGGTTAAGAGATTGTATGATTCTATGTGAAGAAGTTCTAGAGCTGTATCTTTTGGTTTCCGCCATTTAAAGTATTACAGCTAAAAATGGGATATTTCCAACATACAGTGATATAGTGGATCAACCAAACATCGACCAAATGGCAAGCGCATACTATTAGTCAACATTTGTTTTTTTTTTTCAAGAAAGAGACACTCGGTTGGTTGAACATGCAAATTAAATTTCTAAGAAGCAAAAATATATATGAGTGAATAAGCGTACAGATATCTCTCAATTCGGTTAGCTAATGAAAGCTTCCTTCTCACTCGAGTGACCGGTTGGGCTCGTGCACAAAAAGCTTGAATATTACCATACTGGACACCGCACAGCACAACGGAAGCACAGGCTTGAACTACCAACTATCAACATAGATGTAACACTACCTACATCATCTGCATTCCTCTTTTGTGATGTTTACAGTTCAGCCCAGTAGTAAATGCTTCTTTTTTGCATTATATTATATGTCCATTTAATTATATTTCTCTTTACTCTTCTAGTTCTTCTATCAGAAAGCAGATGAATTAGATAGTTGGGAAAAGCAACTTAAACGTCTTCACTCCTCGCTTCTTAATTTAGTATCAGGAGACAATGGTAGGCATTTGATTTATTTGAGTTTTTCTTTTTATAATCCTAATGATTGTGATTTAATATCTATAAAACATGTAATATGCAAATGACATTACGTGTATACTGAATAGTCAGTGAATTTTCCGACTGTCGTATACTGATATGAGATTGTTTCAAACATGAGTCTTAGTTTATTGCTTTTGTTGGTTAGATGTGTTGTTCTTTTGCTTACGGATGGTTGTTGTTTGTTTTTTCCAAGGAATTAAACATTTTGATGTGACAGTTTGAATAATGTTGATCAATATCGGTAAGTTGATACAAAAGGTGGATTGAGAAAGGATATTAAATCCTCACAGTTTAATTTTAGCTACTTTTATGTATGGTAGTTCAGAGGTATTAACTGAACTACTACTTAGGTATGTACTACGATATGTTAGTTAGAAGTAGCACCTTTAGACTTGCGAGAAACCAGAGGAATTATTCAGTGATAACCGTCTGGTTCTCAGCTTCATTTGCTTAATTCCAGAAGTCATAAGCTCCATAGGGCATGATCTAGACTAAAGAATAGTAAATATGGGAGGGACCCACGTATTTTAAACTTAGTACAGATAATGTAAACGGATAAATGGGAATATATGTTATTTACGTACAACTGGTCAGAAAGTGGTTACGTACCAGAATGTCTTAAATTATTATCCAAACAAAATAGACTTCTTGGATAGAGAGACAAATGTTAGCAAACTACTGTTTGTTGTGAAAAAAATTGAATGAAGACTCAATAAAACTCTTTATACATGTGGCATCTGTTAAATAGATGGCACTTCATAACTAGCTTCTTTTAGCATAAAGTTTAAAGATAGAGTTGCGTAGTTGAATGTGTTGACTACTTTATCTTTGGATATTGCCAACTAGCGGACTATAAAATTCCACTTGACATCTTACAGTCTGCCATTTCAGACACCAACGTAATATTGTAGTGCCTGGATAAAATCTTAATAGTTTGTTGATGAGGATGCTTTGACCAACCTTTTTAACTAAGGACCTTGTTATTTGAAGCAACTTTCGTCATCCTGTCAGATTTATCGCTAAAACATTAATCAAATATAGTGAATCCACTGAATGGGAAACACCAAGATTTGGCGTGGTGATTTAGAAAAGTATTGTCGATAAATCAATAAGTTTTTTCAGCCTTGGAGACTAACTTGGCTTTTCCATGTGTTAAACACACCAAACCATGGTCTTCTCTCACTTGTAATTACGACCACAGTAGAAGATCAAAACATATCGCCAATTTTAATTTACTGAAATAGTGAACTGTAAAAGAATTTGGCATAGATTTTTACTGGCTCCACGTATTCAGTTTAGTGTTGTTGAGTTAAACCATTATTTGTTTCGTGCATTTAAATTTGCTGTTACCGGAATGATAAAATGGATAGATATATGGTAGTCAAATTCAAACCATATGTTATTTGGTCTCTATTGTCACCTGCGTTGAATTGCTATTGTTTGTAACTGTTATGTCCTGATAAGCACAATGAATGGTAACTTTTGGGATCCATTTATGGGTCAATACTATGCGTATACTTTTATCGTATAATTATTAAATGACTAATCTATCCATATTCATATCCCTCTTATTTGAGCCTTATTTTGACCTCTGAACTATTATTATACTGTTTACTGTTCTTGAATTATGCCCTGTCCATTAATTACTACTTCCCACATTCACAGCCACATTTGGCCAAATCTTGCGTAAATGTTGTTTCCTATTTTATTGGTACGATGTGGTCTGTTTGATTGGTAAATAAACCCCGTATTTTTGAAATAAATGGCTCATATTTCAGAGGCTGAGATTGGTGTTCTGGACTTAACTGGCTGGGCTAGGCTGAAAGCAGGACCGGTAAGTACTCTAGACTGCTCGTACGTGTTTTACGCGTCATTGGTCCGATCGATAAGTCACTACTGTCTAATTGACGGTATCATTACGTATACATTAACAGGGCACACAGGCCACAAGTTATAATAGTAACAAACAAACAAACATTGATATTAAAAAAATACGATACTTTTAGAAATGCAACTCAGTTCTCAAAGCACATATCTTTGCGTCATTGAGTCATAAATCCAAACACCTCTCGAACTACTGCAATCTGATTAACCACCAAGTATCAGTGCTCACCATATGTTAACTGCATCTCAAAGCGAAACACACGGAATTATTTCTCAGTTGCATCACCATAACTTTAAATTGCTCTCAGTTAAGAAACAGTTATTTCAACTTACTTCAGACCTAGCAAATGCCGAAGCTGGCTTGGCTCGTTCAGTTCTTCTCCTGGCTAATGTAGAAGAAAATACTGGTCTAGCTCAAGCACTTCATCATCTGGCAGAAACAGAAGGACATGTCGCTGATTTACACGCTTTACAAGCAGAAGCGCATACGTGCCATTTAGTGGAGTATTCTCGAGAATTACTAGGCATGGTTCAGGCTTGCAAGGTAAGTTTTCCTGATAGTTTTAAATAAATTGAGCGTTGGCTGGAAAGTTAATAATAAATTTTTTTATGATGTCCCAATGAGTAAGAATTTGTATTTCTAACGTCTCCTGACTCAAAGTAACTTCTTCAGAGCAAATCGATTTGTCAGTATAGGGTTATGGAGATTGTTGAGTTTTGATTGAGATCGCGAATCGATCGATGTCAGGCCACAAATGAAAATCTGTAAGCACTGGACGTCTGTTTCGTCCTATTATTTATTTATTATTATGACGAAACGTCAAAAATACAAATTTCTACTCATTGGGAGGTCACAAAAACTGTAATAATTATTGTTTCTCTAAACTTACTTAGAAAGTAGATGTTGACTTAACGATGGATTTAAACGGTGATGCAGTCATGCTGTTTAATCGTAAACCATGTGTTAGCGGGACATAGACTGGATTAAAGCATGCTCTATGCACGATTGCTTTGGTGCACGCTGATTGGCTAATTCTTATCCGATCAGCACTAGTCGATAGTTAGAGAATACTCTAGAATATTCTCGTGTAAAAACTATAAATATACTAACGTTTTCCCCATTGTGCTTCTTACTTCCATCTAACCTTGTTATTTGGAATATAATCTCTTTCCTGTTCAACCGTGTTTTGATTTGGGGACTTGTCGAGTGAATCGGTGCCCGAGAATACTAAGCAATAGGAATGGCTGGGTCATAATCGTAAGAAAGAGATTATAACACCATGTTTTTATGAAGTTCTTCCAAAACATTTATCAAAACTGTTGCCTTAAAATTTATCTTTCACGGTGTACTCAAAACGGACTGTTTCTGGAAAAGTTAGGGTTTTGTTAAACTATGCAGACAAAGTGTTTTTCAGTCCCGCTTTTGTTTACAAAAGGTTTGCACTCTCTAGTTTATATGTATCAGACTGTGGTAGAGCTTTGCTACTATCAATACAACCAGGTATTTATTTTTCGTTTATTGCTTTAAATTATTTCGTTATTTATCAAGTCTAAGTTGTCTTCTAAGTCTTTGGTCAGGACATCTGAAGTGTAGTGTAGCACATAAACTAAAGTATACCCTAAAATTACCATCTGTTCACTCTTTTTATGGGACTACTCATAGTCTACTACCGAATGTTTGAATTTCAAGCAGAATGTGTTGAGATAGATATTCAGAATTGAATTGGGCTGTAATATTTAAAGAATCATGGGATTATTAAACGTTACACTATTTTGCAATTACGACAAATTTAAGAATATGAGACCCCTTATCGATTAATCACATGGTAGCCATAAAACTTTAAAATGAAAAATAATCCTCTAATCAATATTCAAATAGATAGTTTTAATTTAACTGTTTGTCTTGTTATTTCTAAACGAAAAATCTTATTAATATTACTTCATTATTTTGAAAAAAATATTCATAATACCAAGTTAAATGTATATAATTTAGGATGTTTTGAGTGAACGTGTACGAATATATCGTACATGGAAAACCGCTGAAGCTAATCTTCGTTCAAAGCGCGAACAGAAAATTCGAATGGAAATGGCACCTAGAAATGATAATAAAAAGATGGCCACGATAACAATGGAGTTGGAAGATGTAAGATAATTTATTCCTTTTTTATACTGATTATTTTCATTTAATACTAACAAAAGCAAATATGCTCCCATCAGTTTGAATTTGTTTTTGGATCAACTTGTCTCTGATCTAATGATTGATGATGAATTTTATTAACATGCTACCATAATAATTATTATTATGTTGGGGATGCCAGATCCCCAGCAATTTCTCGGCAAACGTCTTATTTTTGTAATTGTATTTCGGGAATTTGAATTTCTCGTCTTCGCACCAAAAGTATCCATTTTTATCTCCAGATTGTATTTCCAACTTGACAGGACTTTAAATTTGATTGGTTCGTCTCTTTTAATACGCTATTTTGTGACGCTTCCTAAGGACCTTTTTACGCTGTACATATACGCTTGAGTTGTGTGCTTGTCTGTTCCTGCTTCTGGATGCTTGCGGAATACACTTTTCCCCTGACTGATACCGGTCTTCTCCCTATAGTTATCAGGGCTGGGACACATTGGAGTAGTTTAGCTTGTCTTGTCGTTGTGTTGCTAATTCTTCGTTCCGTTCGCAGATTTCAGGTGGTCTCGTAATCTCTTCAAACACAGCAGTTTATTTTTTGTGTCAAAAGTTATGTACATATGTATCATATCGGTTAACAAAACGACATGTTTTTATTTCTTATTATTCCCATTTATTAGATAATTTACGTCAATAACTGGTTTTTTTTTGTGAACAGCCTTCACTTGATCGCAGTTCACATGAATTTAGACGACTGATTTCACGTCACACACGACTGACTATTTGAACGAGAATACAAGAGTAAGCGGGAAAGTATACTGGACTATCTAATAAAATACACAAACACACCCATATATATATATACCAGTCTATCTATAGGAAATTGACCCATTTTGACTCCAATGAAATCTACTTGATTTTTATGTCACATCTGAATGCTATCGATTGACTTTTTCATTAGGCTACTTCTGATTGGCACTCCACATTAGATGACTGTATTATTAATTGATTACTGCGTATATTAATAACTTATTTTATAGTATATTCAACTTATAGAACATAAACATCAAATATTACTCAAACAACATGTTTTCACTGATTTATCCAAAGAGGATTAAAATGATCTAAACCTACCTAATCATCATTAGGATTTGAAATTTTAATGAAACTTTTCGTTGTATTCCATCTGAAATAAGAATTCATTAAAGATTGTCGATAAGTACTGGTGGATACTCCGTTTTTGTTTTCCCCCTAGGTTACACTTGATCTTAAAGTTACTGTTACAAATTAGTCGCTATTTAAAAACTAATATTTAAAGCTATATGCTGGATGTGAATCATATTTCTGGAAATAGTAATTAAAAGTTAGCATGTGATACTCTATAGGATATTCAACATTTCACCATCAGCTTTATTGATCTATGTACTTTCACAGCAACTTATCAACATAACTGGTTAACTCGTACAATTTTACTAATCAAGTATTCGATCAGTCATACGTAACATAGAACCTGGCATATACATGCATCGATCTAAGTTGTCACACTGAATTAACAAAGTGAGGTAAGTAAATGTCAGAGCAGTTGAATTATTAAGTGTCAGTGGTAGTGGGAGGCATGAGAATCGACAGTGTGATTCTGGACGAAGGAACGACTTCATAAGATAAAAAATTAAGATAATTTTGATACTCAAGATCTAAAAGGAGACGAAGAGTGAATACACTAGCACTAGTGCTATCAATTCTAAGCCATATTATTCACCGTCTCAAGTACTCGTTAAAATAACCACTCGGTGACCTCAAAAGGTAGTCTGCATCTACCTACAATGGCTTAGTCCTACAGTCAATGACTTCATGAACCGATGCCACGAGTATTAATTGTCCTCATTTCTCTGATGTTAATCAACATCCTTGGTGCATTTTTGGGATATAGTCTCTAAACTATTTGCTTTACATATAGTGCTCTTTCTTCACTTACTCTCCAAACAATTATCCCGCCTTGTGAATTTTCTTCGAGTATTTTTTATTGTTAGATGATTGAGAATATTTTGCACCATTTATTTATGCACGATTGTTTTTATTATATAAATCAAGGTTTTTGTTATGATTACTAGTTCTTATTTTTTGTATATTTCATTTTGTACATTACACATAGTTACATAGTTGTATTCTTTTTTCTTCATTTCTTTTAAAGCTTGAAAATCGTGTAGATCAAGCTCAGCATAAGTTTAATAATATATCTATAAATATTAAAAGAGAATTTCAAAATTTCGACTTGAATCGTTTTGCTTATTTCAAACAAGCCACTACAGAATATTTAGAATTGTTATTGCAAATTCAATTAAAAGTAAGTGAATATTGTTTCCTATGGTTAAAACACAGACACAAGTTACTATTTTCATAACCACTTTGTTTTCAATGTTAATGTTTCAGTTAATTTGTTATGATGGACATTATTTTCAAACTATAATTAGTTAACAGTTAATCAAATACTTATTACCATTTTCATTGAGAAAATTGAACTGATAGCAACTGAAAAACAATTAAAAGTTATTTTCATGGTTGTTCGACTAAGATCACTTATTCTATGATATAAACTATACCAGCAATAATCATGTTCTCTCTAGTGACTAATTGTAAAGGATAATTCACGGAGTTCCACTGAGAAGCTGTGACTAGTGAAGGTCAAACATGTCGAGTGTGAGGCGAATTCCTATTACTGTCATCCAAACACGGTTGCGCAATATTGTGAATTAACCGAAGCTAGATATGTAAACTAGTGGTCAGCGGTCTAAAGGTTAGGTATTCGAACGGAATTCAGAACTTTCTCGGTTTTTTCCGTGATGCATTCGCAGATACACACTGACGAGAAGTCCTGTACTAGGACAAAACAACTGTCCAGTGCTTCCTTGTTTTTATTGTTTAATTAGCTAAAATCAGTCCGTAATGTAAACTATGAAAAGAAAACAGATTTTGATAACAATTATTTCTTGTCCACCTCCAATTAAACATTGAATAATTAAATATAACATTATCTTTAAAAATCACACATATATTTATATTTGAAATAAACTTCTTTTTCATCATCTTTTGTATACATTGGACAATAGGTGTTAGAAAACTGGGAGAAATATTTGTCTTATACAAACGGTATCAATTGATGTATGCGCATATAGGCTCTGTTAACAATTTTTTTATTTCTAGAAAAGAAATATCCTTGGTTTTGGAATTATTTTCCCTCTCTTTATTACACAATCAATATTCCACACTTATTTATTGTTCCATTGAAATTTTAAGTTAAACATATATGTTAATTTCTCATCCTTTGTGTTCAAGTAACACGCACACACACACCCAGATAATGCATGTGTATACACTTGTATACTGACTGTATTTCGGGTAATTAATTCTAAATAATCGCTTGGATATGGTGGTTGTGATAAGTCTTTATTTTTTTCTTCTGTTAATCATTTTGTAATTTATGTAACTCTTAGATTGATTTCATATCTCTGCCACTTTATGCTGATTTCATGCATATATTTAATAATAATATGGTGTTTTGATTTAAAAAGCAATGGAATTATTATATATTTCACCCTCATGGGATAACAAATATTAACAGACGTAGTAGGAGTACAGAGTATTAAACAATTTAATGACAATTTTTTAACAGGAGAGTTTTTGCAAACAAGTACTTTACTGTGTTTCCTTCTCCCGTTGGAACTTCATGTTAATTATAAAATTCATAAAATCACCTTAGATGGGAACATTTTTTTCTTCACCATTGTTGATATCTGCGCAGCCTTATATGATAGGATTGTATACATGAGTTTCTTTTTCATTTTGCCCTATATGTTCTGTCTATAAACAGACAACCAATGACACAGGATAAACATCAGCGTGGAAGGACATTATCCTTCATTCTGTTCCAACTAGCATGAACAGTCTAAATAATAAGGCGCATTCTGTGTTTAAGAAAATTTAAATAATTCACTTGTTTGCAGACTAGTTTACCTTTCTAGTATACGTAACTTGAGACGTTCTGTATACCTTAGAAAACATAATGGGTGATTATGATCTAAATACATAATTTCTTTTCAATTTCTCTGAAAAGTTATGTGTAGTGTTATGTTCTTTCGTTTAAAACATGACAGTATAATTAGTCTGCTTTACATTATGATTAAATCGCGACAAGGTCTTGTTGATAACAATATCCCTTTATATAACAGTTTCAACTAAAAGAACCCATTTCACATAGCTTGTACATGGTAGTTCTCATAATATGTGACATACACCAGTTCTTTCTCAGTTACCAGTTAGTTACAAAGTGTTTTGATAAAACCATCAGTAATTTGAACATGGACACACCACTATCTGTGTCGAACCCGAAGATTACATTTACAACCTCGATTACTACAGATTAATTATACGCCATGCCGTAACACTCTGATTATTGATAGATTTGTCTTTTTTATTTTTTAGTTATTTAAGTAATTTGAACTGAAAGTTGACCAATAGTTCATGTTCTTGTGGATGGCGAATTCTGGGTAGAAAATAAAACATATCACTATCCTTAATGCAAAAGGTGTATATAGTTCGATATATATATATACAAGCATGTGCTTAGTAAATGATTTACATCGATTTTACCTGTGGAATGAATAGTCCTCTGTAAAACCTAGACAATATTTGATGAGTCCAACGAAGAGATAAGTGTCTGAACCTGAATTTTGCACAGAAGCGCCTATCTTGTACTTTTGGTCATCTTCCGTGGTAATCGATTCATATCCAGTAATCTAAGGATGCAATTTATGTTCGTTTCTCTATTTATGTTTCACTGCATTATTATCAACTAATTTGCTAGGTATAGATATGTGAACTTGGACTCGAACCATATCCTAAGAATGAAGGCTAGTGGTACTACCTGGTTTCCCAGACCGAATTAAGCGGAGCGGGGTTCAACCCTGCCACTTGGTGGTTGTAATTTGAAGACCTCAACCACTAATCAATCGCTCGATTGTACAACACATAAAGACATATACTGTTTGGTGAATCAGTAATTTAACCATTCTGATAATAATTTTTAGTAAAACTGACTAACTGCTTGTAACTTAACTGTTTATACTATTATAGAATATCAAAGACCCTTCCTGACTGTAGTCTGTTTATCTACAGTAATTCAAAGAGCTTTTATGTGTAATTATCATTAAGATGAATGATTGTACAACTTTTATGATTAGCATAAATGATTCATCGGGTTAGTCTGTCATACGGTTTAAATCGATTTGAATGTTAAGGTAAATAGTTGATTTGAAAGTTCCTGTTCAATATGTGTATGTACACAACATAAAACAATATAAAACCAGTTTGCGCCATAAGAATTAATATAAATACCTTTTAATGTAGATAAATCACTGCTTAAACAATTCGAAGCATGTTTAAAGTGTTCTAGTGGTGAAAGTTTAGAAAATGAAAGTTTTTCTAGGTACATTATGAATCATAACAGGTCAATTGCTGCTCGAACACCTCAGCGGTGATATCTAAAACTGTAAGGTTGTGTTACTCGGGCCCGAATCTCATGGGGAACATCAGCTCTCACGATCTCAGTTATTCCTTGTTGAGGAATGTCAACTAAGACGAAATCAAGGTTCAGTGTTTCTTGCCAATTACCAACGAAAATTCCACAGAGGACTACAATACTTTTCACTCTTAGTATAATCACGAAATGTGTTTATATTAATACTCAAATATTCTAGATTAAAACATCAGTTGACATTGAGGTAACTATGCAGTGTGAAAAACCAAAGTTTATACTGATTTATGCCAACGTGAAGTTGCCATCAATTGCTAACCACTAAGCAATATTCAAAACATTTGTAATTCTATCGTTTGAAAAACATAAATCGTTTATAATGGTGATAATCGAACACGTTATCATTAAGTTGTGCATGTTTGTTACTTGTACTGTTACAAGATCTGAAGTTTTACACTTATCGTCACCTGGATTTCTATTCTAAAGTTATCAAGACAACAGTCAGTTGTCTAGGTACAGTTGGCTGTCAGATAGTTAAAAGTAAATGAATAATTCATACCACAAATTAAAAAATTAAGGCTGTGTATCTTCTTGTATATGGTCTTTGGTGTTAGGTTTTTACCACATATACTTATACTGCATTCACTCGTCAAGAGTGGTTCGGTAACTTGCTCAGACCAAGTTCAAGTATTATTAGTACCATAGATAAGTAATCTTACTTTTCAGTACTGTTTAAACCAGTAAACTGTACATTCCTTGCAAATCTTTAACAGTTGCATGAGTAAACCACTGAGAGAAGGAATAAATCAATCAAGTATTGTAATCTTACATAGCTTGTCCTTGAATCTGTACTAAATGAAGAGGCATTAGTGACTAAGGATTGTTTATATGAATATTAGTGTTGTCATATATACATCTGTTTATGAAATCAAAAACTGATTAGGAATAAAATTACATTGAAAATTTGTCTGTATGGTTAAATAAGCACTTCAACATCAATGTTATTCACACAGATAGTACCAACATTCAATGTGGACAATTTTGAAGAAGGTTGGTGATAGATACTGGTTTGTATCTACCATCATATGTGAGGTCATCAAGAGCTTTTATTATTCTATTGTTAGTGATTTGGAAAGCAAGTAGTGATTGCTTGCTGTAAAACTATTTTTCTTCACCCAAATAAGTTTTTCATAGATTAAGGTTTCAAAAAAACTCAAAGCCTTTCAGCTAATTTGAAGTGCTTGAATAACATTTGAATTACGACGAAAAGAGTATACATTAACAACTGGCTTACGCCATCTCAGCATTAATCTTCACTAAAACACCATGATCTGATTTCCAAGATGTAAAACAGAAATCCGGAAACCGATAGGCTCAGAGCACTGTCCGAACGATTCTTCAACAGCTGCATCAGTTCTCAGCATTTTCATATCATTTAACCATATAAAAGTTTAGTACATTATGTTTCGTTAAAATGTAGGTTTGATGAGATAAATTACTTTTGAGCTTGACTTCGAAATAGGGAAATGGTTAGCTTCTATTGTTTCAGTTCATCCAGTAAACCTATAGTTAATTTCTAGTGATGTTGGCTTAGTCGTGTAGTTCCGTTTGTGATCTTTTCCTCAAAACGACCACATGTGGTTTTTATTTGAGATCATATAATGAGTGAGTGATGAACTGCCTGCATCAGATGTATCACCTATGATTGATGGCCACTCTACTCATCTCCTTCAGTTTACAATATTGGAAATTCTACTTACACAACAATTAATTCCCTGTATATCAGTGAGTTAAGTAGTTTCACTTGTAAAGGTTTGAACCTTTCCATTGTTGGTGTTTTGGGCTGCAATCGATCAGTCTCCTTTGGTGTATGAATATCATGTGGACTGCCTAGAGAGTGACTTTGTCACACGCATCTTTAAGCTAAGCTTTCGTAGCAGCTAATAGATGACACGCCCGTTGTCCCAAATGGTACTCGTCAGCTAGATATACATGCACTTCAGTGTTGATATTCCCACGAGGACCTGCTGCTTTCTGCATCACATGCCAACGTATCATCCTGTAGTGTCGGTTACTATGTTAAACCCATATAACTTATTCTAGCTTTTGGACAGGCTAGTTTATTCATCATTCTTCTTGAGTCACGTTTTGACCTTGTTAATTATTTATTTATCAATCATGACTGTTTGTATACGAGCGTATGTGTGTGCACTTCTTATCCTATTCATCACATGTCTGTAACTTATTTTTGTGTGACTATGAATATTGATTCGCGCCTAATTAAATTGAATTGGCTGACACGTCTTCACTGCGTGCCGTGTCGTTTCGCTCTCTCTCCTTCGCTCCCTTCGTTACGTTTTTCTGATCATCTTTTCCGATCAACGATTGTACAAAATATGCGCATTCGAAATCTATTCTCGTATTTGGCTTATTTAATTCCGTTATTCACTAACACAGATTAAGTCGATAATTACATACGAGGATAGGCGATATGTATATCTCAATAACAATTAAACATACAATCTAATTAGGGTCAGATTCAGGGCCATTAAAATCCACTGGGGTAATGATTTTTGTCAGCCACTGGTAGTGCACAAGGGACCAACTTGAATTTTATTACTAAGGATTTGGTTGTGAGAGGTAATTAGTTCAAATTCTGATGAGGATATAAACACTGCGGGCATATCCGGCAAACGAATAATAAATAGGACGAATTGTGCGCCCTAGAATTCTCTGCTAGACGCTCTCAAAAGTTTGCTTAAAAGTGAGTAATATGGCTTGGTAAATAGACAAAAAGTCCAATAAATTGAGTGAAAGGAAATATTTGAGTCTTTTATTTACGTATATCCTGTTAATTGGAAGAAAAACGATATTATTATTTCAATCGGCAAAACATATGCTAATGCAAAAGTTATTTTAAAAAGATGAATAAAAATAACCATTTTTTGAGTATAAAATTCAGTAAATAGTTGTCGGTTAAAAAAAATAAATCTCCGCAAATTTATTTTTGTTCATATTGTGCAATGTAAACACGAGTACCAGAGGCAAATGCGAATTGCACCATACGTTTGTTACTGTTATCATTTGTCTTTGGCTCAATAAAGGCCAATGAATAAATACCACTTGTCAATTCCGTTACTGATCCAACAACCTGAGTATTTAATTAATCAAATAACGTGAATGTACAATTTAGTAAACATTATTGATATAATTGGATTGACACTGCACGAAGAACAGACTTATAGTGACAACACAGAAATCGACAATAAATACAACTGATATAAAAAAGTTCCTAATGTCTCATTGATCCGCGGTAATATAGTAAAATGACAGTCTGTGACTAAAGAATTATCACTTGTTGATAACATAATTTTACATATATCGTTAACTGATCTGAAATTGCAATGAAAAGCAACTGATTATTTCATACTGATTTGTCCAGCGGAAGAATAACTTACTCAAGTATTTTATTCAGACAGGATACCACCAGTAATCTAAATCTGGTATATAAAAATTTCTATCTCATAGATGAGAGGTCTAAAATGTTAGTTTCTAATTTATTTACCTCATAACAATTTTATATCCTACACACGTAAGAGAAAGCTATTAAATGATCTATAAACTTTTTTCGATGGTAAGGTTACAAGTTAAAATCCCCTTCAAAATGCTTCTCTTTCCTCATTGTTTAGATAGTCCAGTTTAGTACGACAGCAATCCTAATTTCCATCTGTTATTAGAGTGGTAATTCTGAACAAAATAAACCATTGGAACTGGCCAATTAAAATGGGTGTAGTATAAAATCGTCATTTCGAAATGTATTATAAGTATTGAACTATTGAGTTGATCGTCTACAAGAAAGGATTTCCAAAAGTGCTGGTAACAGAAAATTATTTGTCCTAGTTCGTTCCTTTTGAGTGCTCAATGAGCTTTTCATCTATTTTCTAAATAAATTAAAAAGGTCTGGCTCAACCAACACTATATAAGATGAGCGGGTCCGGTTCTTTAAGAGGATAACAGCCTGGTGATTGCACATACGACTTCCCAGTAGATATTGATGAGGACCCAATGAAAATACCGGGTATTTTGAAGATTGCACTCATAAACTTAAAATTGAATGAAAATTAAATCAATTTAGAACTCACATTCAGTGTGAAACGACTGATAAGTTTTAGAATATTTGCATCTGACCCACCGAATGCTATGTAATATGGTCCAAGCCATTTTGCTACATAACCCTAAATACATAATAGAAGGACAAATTATATATATATATATATATATATATATATATATATAATATTGACCTAGTTATCTGAATCAACTTTGAAATGAATCATATATTGACAATTGCGGCACTGAGCATTCACCACATACTAATCGATTAGACGATTTATTTTACAGTTTACATAATGGATTGACTTTAGATAGACACGAAATTTAACTCTAATCATCTAGTTACTATTAACCTAAATCAATTAACAACTATATTATCTTATAAATAAGTTTATTAAATCTAGTCTAAATAAGGCTTTCATTTATTCAATAACTGTCTATGCAGTTATACTTTATGCGATATCCTATCTAATTTTTTGATCTCATCACTCATATCTGATGGGTTGCTGTTGTTTCTTTCTTTATTCGCCGTAAGTCCTGTTTAGCAATTCAAAATGTAGGCATTTTTACAACAACTTGGGACTCCTTGGCAGTGCGCATTGATGATACCGCCTCGCATAATCATTTTATTGTTTAATTTATTCAAGTTTATTAAATCAAATTTTGGTTGTGATATTCACAAACAGATATATTTGTTTTGTCATATTGGATAATATATTCAGTTATTGACTGCCTGTTGTTTATTTTTGCATATCATAACAAATTGATTCATGTTGTAATGATTATTAAAAACACTACGATTTTGTTTTCTTATAAGTTGTAGCTTAAATGTGCTTTTTTCAGTCATATGATATCTTATTTATTATTTACAAGAAACAAAACACAGAATACCGATTTAATAATTAAGGCTGATTTTATCTGTCATGTTTTTAATGTTTAAGTAATGTGTTATATCCAGTAATGGCCACTTTTCGAGTGAATGATGTATAATACAGTAAAGTTTTGACTAGAGATTTTATTTCAGGTTCTAATTTCCAAAATATTGTCTTTATCATCCTAGATGTTTGTCAGTACTATTCTGAAATATTCATGAACGACCATCGCAGATAACTGCAGACCTTTGAACTGTAATTTTTAGTTAACATTACACTCTAAGATGCAGCACTCATCCATCAAATGAAAAAAGTGCTCGAAAGTGCCGGATATAACATACTGATTGAACACTAAAAACGTGACTTATGACAGCCATAACTAATGGTATCAACAGTTTTCACTTAGATTTTGTAAGTGAATTCTGATTAAAAATGACATAAAATAAGTAATTCTTATTCTGTGACTTGTAGCAACATCGAATAATGCATCACTCAGGAAGTGTGCAATGAATGATCTTGTTTATAAATTCCGAAAGTGCAATAATAAGATGGAGTCTGTGTTAAAAGTAAGTGATATGTCAGCGTAACGCATTTTGTATAATCTGATCACAGACTTACGTATCAATGAATTTTACCTCAAACAAAGAAAGGTCACTTAAATCAGAAGTGACAACTGGAAGTATAAGAAAAAGGGCATAATATAAGGAGAATATCAAGTTGTCACATGATTGCTGGCGTTAAACATATATTAGCTATTACCGAGAGAAGTTCAAAGTAAGGATAAAGCGTTTTTGAATAGAAAATTAATTCTCACGTTTTCTAATAGATGAGGTTTGTACCAGTTGACCGGTCTCAATTATATTCTTTGCATTAGAAGAATGTCCATCTAGTCCTGAGGGTTATCTGAGCTTGCTATGTCAACTAACTCTGAAACTATTACAGTGTATGTTCCATCATCCTGGATTATTTCCTGCCTTTTCCTAGTTTACATACAAAAGATTTCAATAAATAAGTGTCTAAATAAATTAGCTAAGATGTACTGTCCAAAATATCACGCATTTTTGAGACAAGCTCCATCTTCTAGTTTCACTTTCAAAATGATATTTTCTTTTACTATACACAAATAAACACTTGGTTTTTTAAAACGATGTATTCTAGTATTTACAAAAAAGAAAATGAGGTGGTTTTATTTGACTAGAAGTTTGTTAGGTATTTAGACCTCATGTACTCAATTTACTTACTTTACTCGGTCCATCATAGGCATCTTGAGGTATTTCAGCTACTGGTTTACAGTAGTATAAAGCTCCAGTTTGTTTATTTATGATTTCCCTTCCAGTTGGTATAGACAATTCATCACCTTGATGTTCAGCTGAATTATAAAATTCAATCATAAGCTCTTCATTAAATTTCCAAACCTTATGTAGATAAGTGAAAACAATTTATGTTTAGAACGAAAGTAAACAAACGAAATTGAATTCAATAATTTACTAAAGATATATAGTCTGTACAGAAATTTCCTACGGATGCTGAATAGTATTGTTTCTTTTTACATTATCATCTCAATGTTGTTTGATTCTACCATAAAGTTCAGTTAATTGTTGACTTATTTCTTTAACTTATATATATATCTTTCTTAACAGCCAGACTGTAATCTTGAAAGGCTTTGAATTAAAATCAAAAATATTTTGTATATTTTTAATTTGAATGAAAATTTATCTGAATACACTTCGTTGTTATGTAAATCTGTACAATAATGTTTTCTTATGGTAGTAGACGTTTTAAAAACAGTATTGCTACAATTTGTTGATAAAATAATGTCTTATATCGCCTAAGCTATAAAATGTTCATAACAATTAGTGGTTTTATGAATTAAGTTCCTCATTCAATTCAGTAGTAGACGGTGATTGTTAAAACAGCTGAAATTTGTTATTATGGCTGGTGAACACTTATGGTTAAGAAACATTTATGCAGCACTAATGAAGCTGAAATATACAAACTGATCGTTCAATATTTCTATTTGGAGTTGTTTATGATACTGAATATTATTTACAGGAAAGAACTGTGCAAATGAAGCGATAATCAGGTACCACAGTCACTCATCTCTATGTGGAATAGTCTCAGATGGTATAATAAAGTGCTGATTTGTACTGGGCTGCTTACTATGAAATCTGTTCTTAAAAATATCTAACAATAATAGGCTATTTAAATTTGTCTCGTGCTTGAATTTCATCTAAAACGGAAGTGTTACGAATATCAACATTTGGTGGTTAGTGTCTCTTGTAAGTAATCGATTTTATCTTTAAACTTCAGATAGAACAAGCGGTTTAACTGAGTTGAATAGTAAAAGAGCACAGAAGACAACGTAAACCAGCCAACTATTAAGACATCTCAATCAATTTTCTTTTATTGATTGAACATATTATAAGGATTCTACCTTTAAAATATTTTACAAAAACTCAAAAATGCTTCGTGATGAAATATAATAAAATATGAGGAATAACTAATTCATTTGTATTAGTTGTTTGAATCTTCCCACTGATATTTAGGACAGCAGCTGATAAATCTCTTTTGGCATATGTGCATCCGGTGCAGACTGGATCAATATGGCCGTTGGGACACAGGTGTCATATGCAGAGTCGGATTATGACTAGCATTAGGATCCAGGACACACTTACGTCCTGGTTAGGACTCGTCAACTGGATGCATCCAGGACAAAACGTTAGTCTTGGGTTCAACTACTAGCCACAATTAAACAGCTAAAAAGGAATACCTGCTCTAACAGGAATTTTTATCGAAGATATAACTTATATTGTATTTAGCAAGAATTGTTTTTACTTCCAAGAATAGTTGCTCTAGCTTTATGTTCTAAGATACGGTTTTACGAAGCCAATACACGGTGTAGGTCTAGATTGATTTCATTAAATGAATAATCATTATTTAAACGATAGTTGCCGATAGACAACTATGTTATTTTTTGTGTTTTATACGTTGATAAATAATATATACTGTTTAAGCAAGAGTAGGATTTCGAAAGAAAAAAATATTAATAGTTGTAGGCATATTCCTTTTTATGACGTTAATCTAAATAATAGTAAACAGTAAATATTAAACAAAACATAAGTATCTATTTATTAATTATAACGTTTAACTTTTCTCTCAACTACTAATATTCAGGACAAAATTGGACAATCATTGTTAATATATATATATATATATATATATATATATATATATATATATATATATATATATATTCATAAATATTTATTACTTGCAAAATTGATTTATCACGGCGCCATGAACTTGATAATATATGATTTGATTCTGATTCGATTTCCAGTGCATCTGATCCACAAATATGAGGACCATAATAAATCCTAAAGATATAACGGAAGTAATAAAATAGGTGTTTTCTAATTGAGTTAATAAAATTAATTTTTCCTTTCTTGTTAATGATACACTGACAACTAACAAATATCGTACAATCAAACTTATTTTCAAGTGGTTTTATAGTGATGTACAAAATACGGTCACGTCTAGAATGAATATAAGTGATAATTTTATACAGAATTCTCACGGGAGATTAATCTAACGAAAGTGCTCATTGTGTGACGATGTTAAGTAAAATATGGATTAAATCTCAATTGTGATAGTATTCAAAGTAGTAGTATCCTGTATTGAAGTATGATTAGTAATATGCTTTGCATTCACATGAAATAGTGCTATAATGATCAGTGGGAAAAATAGATTTGAAATATATTTAAATGTGTCCTATAACTTAGTTCCTAAAGCTCTTTTGGTTTGTGACATAGGGATCTCTTCTTTAAACCCATCCGGCCCGAATATGCTTACAAAATTTGCTGTTCATATTTTTCCAAGTGAAATATTCTGCCAACGAATACTGTTCCAGATAATTTTATTATCAGTCAATATTATTGAAGCACAAGTTGGAACAGAATTGTACCAAAATAAGAAAATTACAATTATTTTAAATCCGTAAAGTTTTGAGTTCTTAAAAACTTTCAATATTAGATAAGCATCACGCTTTTATGAATGAAAAGGAATCAGAAATATAAATTCATCTGAACAGATAGTTCAACTGATAAATTCCAATAGTGTAATGAAAGATGTAGACTATTAATAAAATATAATTCATCAGATCAATATGTTTTGTACAAAATGGATACCCGTTAAACTTCACTACTAGTAGTAAAGCTTCAAAATTTTATGAGCTGCGACGTCTTTAGCATTAGCAAAGCGCTTACATAACCCTACCATTCCATAATCAGTCAAAGAATTTTATGTTGAAATGAAACAAAATTCACAAAAGAGGTAAGGTCATCGAAATTTAAAAAAGGTTCTCTGAGTTGTCAAAAATAAACAAAGGGGATCTAGAAGGTTACAGGACATTTCGTTATGTCTATGGATTTACATGTGTATGTGAAAATATACGCATAGGGAAGAGCAAATGTAATGTACATATAACTAAAATGTTACAAAAGTAGATAAACTTCATTTATTCAACAAGGGCTGATGATAAACACTCACTTTCTGCTACTTCTGGACATCTCTAGTATGATAAAACTCAAAGTAATTTATACTCATATTAAACCTAAGCTTATAATACTCAGAGCCTTTCCATAGAGGCCTTCTTATATCAACACTTATCATATTGTACATAATGACTAACCAGTCATTAGTATATAGGATTTCACTAAAGAAATAAACGTTTACTTTTTGAATGATATAAATTTTTCATTAGAATTTTAATTTAAAGCAATTAGTCCCTTTTATAAATTTTGATAGAGCAATGAGAAGACGGAGTTGATCTGAAAGTATATATGTGACCAGATTGTTCAAAATGTATAGCGCTAAAACACCACATCTTTCAAATCAACTCCGTCTTTTCATTGCTCTATCAAGATATCTAATCCTTTGTTCATAAAGGGTCTTCATTAAATCTTTTCACAATTTAAACACTGGTTTATATATGATTTTGACGAAAGTATTTATGTATGTATATCCGAATGGATGAGTAGCAGCAGTATTCAGTATATATCTTTCATATATATATTCTTATCAATAACTTCTAACTGAAATAGATAGAAGTAATTTCATTTAATGTATAAAAACAATTTATTCTATGCCTTTACAAAACTGAACATGAAATAATCTAGAATATTCTAGAATCATTCATTTATCTTCGAATAGTAATAAACAATAACTTAAACAAAAAGACGATTGTATAATATTAGTATACAAAGAAACCTTACAGATAATAATTATAAATAAACAAAAATAATTACCATAAAGAATGTAAATACCGATCATCCCATATTTGTATTGTATCATCCCAACCACCGGTAATAAATATATGCACATAATCTTCATAAACAGCACCACGTGGATGATATTTCACAGCACATATACGCATTACATGTCCATCCATTTTTTCCTTAGTAAAACTTAATTAAGATATATATTGTCATAATATAATAACTAATAAACGTTAAGAATACTTACTAGAATCTTTCCCACTAACATGCAGAACTAAAAGTTTTATCATATAAAAATTAACTTATTAAGATAGTGAAAAGGAAATTGTATTTGTGAAAATTCCAGTGATCACAGTTAAAAATAAATTCAACGCTTTGCTCGACAATCTGACCCAACGTTTTTCATACTAACAAACAGGTTTCACAATACCACTATGTGCCTAATGATTTCACAATATGTTAATATGTTGAATTTAGAACTTGTAAAAGTGAGAATATGAGTCTCTTGGTGTGAACTATGATGAAATTGTAGTAGATAAAGAAGTTCATTTAGGTATATGCAAGTCTGATGTAAAAAAAACCATTGATCATGTTTGGCTCTAGGCTATAATCTGAGGTAAAATTAGGTAGTTAAATCATAGCGGTTATGAGGGAGTTGCCCACCAAAGACAACGGATAATGGTTGTGTCATATTATAGACTGTTATAAGTTAGACTTGTACACCACTGAATCCCGGCCAGATGGTCTAGAGTTTAGGCGTTCGTGAGCGAGATCAAATGTCTTGAGTTCGATTCTCGCCTTCATGATCATGGATGTATATGTCACGGATGTCTATTGCTTCAAGGTTTTCAATGGTTGTCGGCTTGCGGTTTCAATAAAATTAGTTAATCTAATTTATAATCAAAGCATTCATAAAACGATGGTAAATAAATAAATGTATGCTTGTATTGTTATGTTAAACAAACTGACTGTACAAGGCGTATCCAATCGTAATCATTGGTTGAATCTAAATCATTGTGGTCCACAAAACGTGATATGAAAAATGATTAGTAAATAAAATTTAAATCTATGTATTAAATGGTAGTTGCTATGGTCCAGCTAATTGTATTCATTCTTGTCGATTTGAATTTTTCATGTTTGCTCATAAATGTTGGGTTACACCCGTCAGTCTTTGTAAGAACCGAGAATATTTTGAAGGACTTTTGCCGTTTCCAAGTCGATTATATGTCCGGTTTCCACTAAATTCAATAATAACACCCATCTATTTGCAAGTTTTCTGATTTAGAAATCAGATATCAGTAAAGTTTGTATTCCTATACGCTCAATCAACTTTCGTGATGTCTCTCCTAAATATCCAAGACTACAGTCATTACATTCGATATCATAAACACAATTCGATGGTTCTACTTTTGGCGTTGTATCTTTGAATAACATGATCAGCATTATGGAGACGGTTTTATTTAAGGACAACCCACAGCACGTATTATAATCAGCCAGAGAACCATCTAGAAGGGAACGGGATTGAAAAGTTACTACGTATTTTTACTATTGGACATTTCAACAATCTATTTCACACCTCACTAATAATTGGACTCTGAACGTTGTAATGAAAGGGATACCTTTAAATCACTGAGTTCGAACACAATTATTCACTTTCTTTTCAATTTGTAAGATTAAGTGAGTACTATCCAATTGAGTTCAACCATATCAATAATAAGACAGATATTATTAACGAAAGTTGGTTTTGGTTATACAATAGACCATACTTTTTTGTGTAACTAGATTAAAGTTTCTATAAAAATACACGCTACAAGAATAATACAGTAAACATTTAAAAAATAGTACGCCACAAGCATAAATGTAGGAGTGATCTTTTCTGTCACAACTAATTTATTTCAGGTTAGCACAATTTATTAATATTCAGAAGGGAATACGTTGATTACTATGATTTAATAGGAGAAAAATTTTGTTTATTCAGAAGACCAAATGTTAGCAGTTCCAAGATATAGATATTTTTAACGGTAGGATTCACAGATGTCTCCTTGATGAATTGATTTGGTCCGATACTTTCCAAAGGCTTTCATATTTAACCTGTTTCAGCTCCCATTTTTATTGAAGTTAGTTGAGTACATTTAGTAACTATCTTAGTTACTGTTGATTAATAACTCATTAAGCCGATTTATTTTCTTAACGCGTAATTAAAAATTATTTATGAATTCTTCACTTATTGATTTAATTATATTCAAGCAACTCTGAATTTATTCAAACAAACACAAACGCATTTGTCCCGTTTTTAGTGACTCCAGTTTCCGGTCAGATAATCAATCAAAACAGGATGCTACTCAGTCAGTTTGTTCAATAATATGTTTTTGAGTAAAGACACTCCTTATAGAATGACTGAACTTGCAAAAATTCACCTAAGCATTTGTGAATGAATGAGAACTTGCTTACTGGTTCTGTATAGCTTACTTTCAGTAATATAGTATGTGTGTGAACCAATTCAAACAAGTTTGCGAATTTTCTCAGTTCAATTTAATATAACCCCCTAGTTATCCAGAGTGCACATAGCTAATCAATTAAATAAAATTGATTCTATTACATTTATAAAAACTATATGGCTTAATTGATCAGCTTTTATATATTTTTATATCCAAAAAATAAATTACACTGAGAATTTCTTTCAAATGAAACAGCTCATCAGTTGAGTTCGAGTAACTTTCTCTACATAGATGCAAATACTTTAAACAATTTTATCAATATTATCTTATCCTGGGTTCGGATCTCACGGGGCGGGGTCGTGGTTTCACACTACTGAGGAGTCCAGTGCTTCCAGATTTTCCATGGTGGTCTAGCTTTAATCGACTCATAATCTCAGCTATTGAAATTATACATTCATTGTGACTGATCAAACTATTGTTTAAATTATTTTAACTGAAATGATCGACTATTCATCGAAAAACAGAACTCTTTTTTCCACAATGGACAGAGTATAATACAGACAAACTTTTATCAATACTCTAGCTTTCACAGTTTTATTAACAAGTCTAAAGAAAACGAGATCACATAACCACAAATATCCTTGCGAAATTAAGTTAATTTACTGGTCTCTACACTTTTACTGATAATCTCGCTTTTTTAACACTGAAAACTTTACTAAACAAGTTATTGCTTAAATCATATACACATGTAATAAATAGTTTAAACTTAAAATATAAAGAACCAATGTTAAAATAAACGAATGAACGAATGATTCTTAGTGTGTAGTGGATAAGTTCATCAAAGAATTTCGATCATAATAATTATGCTTAGATTAGGTAATTAGATGGTAGAATATTTACAATAATCTATTGTCTCCTAAACACTTTATCTTAACTTTATGATAGAGATGTTGGGTGACATAAATTATTTGATGCACAAGAATTGGGATTAAAATTTCCCTTCACTTTTTAAAACCGATGCTGGTATTTCTTTGTACTGATAAGTCAAAGTTATCAAAACTTAAAATACGCTGGGTTTATAGTTTTTGTACATAGTATGCTTCAAATTTACTAAGTTTACTACTATGTAAATAAATAGTAGTGTTAGTAGCAGTCATGAAAATTACTTCATTTTTATTGTAATTAGTAGATCTCAACAACTATGAGAAAATTACACAAAAGCGAACTCAACATAAAATATAACCATCTCATATAACCGTGAACTGAATCAACATAAAAAAATACCATTTATACCAAAAGAACACTAGTGTCAGTTTAGTGAACAACATTAAATATAACGTTTTGGAATGATGTAATCAATGTATGTACTAACTTTTATAGAAGGACAAATCACATGATTTCTTTCTTTAGTTAAATGAATTTTTTACAAGACTTAAGTAACTATCAAATATGTCAAGAAATAATTAAAGTGTAGTTTCCAAGATTATATACAAAAGAACCATTCAATAATGAATTTGATTTATATTGTGAAATTGTTCTAAACTTTAGCATGTGATTTACTATTTACAATTAAAGAAGACTTTTCTTTTTTTAATATTTACTTGAAAACTGGAAACCGGAATTCGCCTTTATTTTGATCATCTACTTGTATGGAAAAATAAGACTATAAACAACGCATTCTTTTTTTCATAAGTACAGTAGAAATATCAGCTGATGTTGATAACAGGTGAAACAAAAATAAACATACTTAGTGTATATTGGTTTGTAAGTGGTTGTCATATATACTGTAAGAATACTTTTAAAATTGATAATATAACAACCATAGACCATTTTATAATTATACTATTTTTTATATGTATTTATCTAAGAAGTTATCAAAACTCAAAAACCGACTGATGAGATCATTCCCACGTCAGATATCTTCAGTCAATCGTAGACAAGGTAGAATCTGACACGAATAGGTATCACTTACGTTTTTATACCTTACAACAGCACATTAAGCGAGAAAATTATCACGGTGGGAGGTAAAAGTGAGGAAAGTTGAACAAAACGTTTGTTTATAAAATAACTAGTGAGATAAGAAAATAAACAGTATAGAATGACTCGGAATTTAAAAGTTAAAAGATCAATCATGAGTGTGATTGTACCGATGAGGTAAGCTTTGAATCATGCAATCCAACGTCTTCAACCATATATTACTGGTAGTTTGCCGATCCCGACCTGCAATTCTCCACCTGCATATATATTTCAAGCTGATAGTCAGTAACTTGGTTGGCCTGTTCAGTATCTTCAATTAGGAGCCTCAATATTTCTGCCAAAGTGCTCTTATGGCAGACAAGATGGTTATTAGAGTGGCTAGACATATTTGCCATGTGTTATTATCATCCGAAACGATGAAAGTTTATGGCTTTATCAGTTAACTTACTGTCTCTACCTTGAACCCTTCATCTAGAAAGCGATAGTACCTTTTCGAAGATACTTAAACTCACAGTTTTAAAAGAATATGTTGAACTAACAACATACACTTTATAAAGTACTTTAGCTTCGAAGCAAATTCAGGGATCGTGATACACAATCAGCATTAGTTATATGAAAAATAATATGAGCAAGGTGATCATTGATCAACAATTTATTTTCAGCTTTTAATAAGTAGGAAAACCATTTGTCTGAGGAATTTTGTAGACCATGTCCCTCCAGCTAATTTTTCGCAGGATCTTAAATATTTACATGTATTTTCAAACGTTAAGTAACGAACAAGTCCCAAAAAACGTTACATTAGCCATTATATAGACCGTATAAATATGAGCAAAGATTTGCTCGTTTAATTAGGAAAAGTTAGGCAAATTATTGCTCTAATTAGTTGTTCCGAGATTTTCTACTTCAATCAATTGGTTAATAAAGTGTCATCTGACTATAAAAGATGCATTACATACACGTATATATAATTTGTTAATAAAATTTAAAAAAGCATGCATAATTAAAATATAATTATGACTGAAACTTTTGAATGAATTAGATGCCAAAATAATACTTCACATTTCATCTCTATTTGTCACTAACTTTTAAACAGTTTTAGTCTTAGTTTTAGAGCAACACCACTAGATTAATTGTAAATAATCCACATGTGAAATTCAGGAGTTATTGAAAAGTAAGAGATTTACCGAATGACATCATATAATCTTTCTTCAAAATAAGCTATATATCAAACAAACTACATTTTATGATTATTATGAATAGGTGATAAGATAATATGCATTTTGAATGTAATAACAGAAAGTCTGCTTATCTGAAAAGACATGTTTGTAGTTTTAAATGCTGGTTTTATTGACATAAATAATTTTATTAGCAAATACTAATATATACTGAGATTCCTATACTAAGTTCTTGGTTCTCCACCTCTATTTATACAACTCAATATTTCTACAAAATAAAAACCATTGAATTTTATTGATGGAGGAAGTTTTAAGTTATCAACTATTTCATCAGAATTTCACTAGAAAAACGTAGAAAAGACAGTTGAAAATGATCTTAATAAAACACAATTATATGAGTGAAGAATATCCCTTTTGTTGGGGTGATCCAGAAACGTGCTTGCAAAAGACGAGCAATCATCAGGAGACACTAAGAAGCGTTTCGTTCAATCAGCGTTCAGTTGAAGTCTTAGCCAAAAATATCAAGGAAGCGAGACGTCACATACAGAGGCTCTGATTGGTTGTTTGCTACACTGCTACTATGTTTAGTAGCATTTCAGAATCTTCTAGCAACCCAAGGACATTTAAAATATTGTAAAAATCCTGTGTTTTCTGTATTAAAATGAACCTTGGAGTAAACTACTTCTCGCATACTTTGCGTCTTCTCCCTCATGTTCAGGTCGCTGTATAGTTCTAGCTTGGGGGTTACAGAATAGCTTAGGATGCGAATATAGCGTTCAATTCGCAAGACTTACCACTTTTCATTAGTTGAGATCATGAGTCAATCGAAGCTAGGCCGTCATGGAAAACATGGAAGCACTGGACGGCCGTTTTATCCTATTATGGGCTCCTAAGCAGGGTGCATCCACGGCTCCACCTCGCGAGATTTGAACCCAGAACCTATCAGCCCACAAAACCCTTTCTAATATCCTTCTCAGTAATTTATCATCATGTTCTACAATTACACATCCAAATTAATAGTCCATTAAATTGGCCAGGCTTAAGGCAGAGTACATCATTTAAAATTGTAACATGTCAATTAAGGATTGTTCGTCACATAAAATAAAGTGAAATCATTAATGCTGGATTGACTAATATGAGGTGTTAACTTGAATAAGTTTAAACGTCAAAAAACCAATGTTATATTGGGGCGTGGATTCAAGACCTCACCGAAATTCGAGGTCATGACATTAACTTAATGTATCGCGTATGATACCGTTAGACTCGTCAGTCATCATACACAGGTTCATATCTTCGAATACACACGATTTGCGCTACAACGCAACTGTCGTCCATATGATATCAAACTGAACGATTACATTAGGGAAGCTTATTTTGACTAGCTGGGCTCTAGCAGTAGAACATTACAATCTTAAGAGCATAAACTTTTTAAATTATTACAATATGAGAAATTTGTGTTTACCTTGAACTACACATTCGCAAGCATCTACGAGATTTCATGTCATAAACTCTTAAATGACAATCAACCCCACCAGTTACAAATCGTTTACCATCATATGAACATGAACACGATAATATCTGATTCATCACGTTTTCTGCATTTGTTCTCACAGGAGCATCAGATGGGTTACTGATCCTTTCTTCCGTGATTGTTGCCAAGAGACGTGATGAATTCATTGCTCCTGTGTAATGCCATAAGCGTGCATGACCAGAAACATCTTTTTGAGACGGTATATGAGAAAAAACAGAATAGTCAGAGTAAAATCTCGTCCTAATATCTTGAAAACTTATCTTGTATAAACTACACATCATCTTTGTAATGCGTTGAATAAAACCTAAACAGAGTCCGTAGAGGGAATAAGCAACATACTGCGACCCTAAATGACTTATATTTCAGCAATTTGTATCGCTGATTGTCCGACTTATGTTTACAGTAAAATAGTGACTAAAAGTCCAAGAGTTTATATTAGAAAAATTTAAATAACTGATTTACAAAGATGTTGTTATTGATACAACACAGGGGAATATGAGAGATTACCTGAACGCAACTAAGGTATTGTTGAGTGATTGTCGTCCATAGAAGCTCAACTAGTCGCAAAGTGATGTCGTTTAATAAGCGTTCGGACAAACTAATGAAATAAAACATTTAAATGAATACTAAACAAGGTCAGGCTGCTAAAAGTTAGGCATCTGGCATGTAGTTAGACTGACTGGGATAAGTTTACTCACCATCTAATTAGATTGTTTAGAACAAGCTGGCAAATAGAAGAAATTAATAAATCATTCCACAAATAAACTGACTAATAACCCGATATTTACAAAAATAATTTCGAAATATCTGCTTTGTTCCTAGAACAGACTTAAGATGGTACTGGAACACGGTGTTTAACAGAATTGACTACGTCGTACCTTGAGCAAACATTAACATGGTCACTTGTACCCAATATAGCTCAATTTTTAATATTTCACATTCATAATAAGCTGGTATGGAAATCAGCAGCATTTAAGGTGCTATTTGAAAAATATCCAACCGTGAATCAAAACATTATTTCATCTATCGGGACTGCAAAGTTATGAGTCTCATGAAATATCTGTTCCAGGCTTCACCCCGCCACTTTGGTTTATAAATGTGCATTCACGTTTTCTTTAAATACACGAGTGAGCGATTTCTTGCTAAATGCTAGGCGTTAGTAGTGTTTTCAACCAACTTATAATGTTATAGTCAGTGATACCACGTTTTCGCATTTTTCTTTGTAATATTTCAAGAAGTAACCAAACTTTTGGGTGATAAAAGGATAAGTTACAACAAATTTATAATCTTTGAAGATGTTACACTTGGTGACAGCTGTAGATAGTCCTTCACACTTGTTGGTATTTAACCACAGGAATAATCCCGTCTAAACTTATTAGTTGAAATTAGCTGAAGTTGTGAAGAAAGTACTTGTTCCACCTAGTGTTTTTTCATAGAAGGTGAGATGACGCTAAGTTCATTATCTGTGATAATCACGGCTACATTAATCACAACGACATTTGTCTCCATAGACATATACACAAACCAACAAGTTTACTTTCTAGGTTACAAGTGTGCAGATATCATGCACTCAGAACCCATCCCAAACTTGATTTCAATCTATCTCATGCAAAAATAGACCTTTTCACCCAAAATTAATCAACTAAAATCTAAGAGTCTACTGTACCTTTCGACAATAAGATTAAGACTACGCGATTAGAAACTAAATGTAGGAGGATACGGCTAATAACTATATATTTTGGTTGATCTGAAGGTAGCTATGGGAATAAAAATGCTTTTTAGTTTATAAATGGCACTAAAACCCACCGCAAATATGAGATTTTTAGATATTATCATGTTGTGACTTTGAAAGAGAATTGTTAATATAATGTGTTCGAATGCAAATATATCACATTCAGGGTATATTTAAGTGATTCAGCCGTTCACTATCAATCTCTAGTTTTTCCTACAAGTGCTAACAAGGTTTTACCATAAAATCTTCTTTTAAAACGTACACTAGCTTTAAGAAATTAGAGAAAACGATTTACATGAACACTAATACAATAAATAAATTTATAAAGAGAATTTTAAGAACATACACACGGCTAAAATTAGGTGACAGTTATCCTGAATTCGATCATTGAGTTCTGGGACAGGCTGTAAATCTGAACAAGGGAGAGTTTCGCCATCTGCGTTCAAAGTATAGAAATTATTTGTCTGCTTCTCACTATCTTCAGTGGATAATAGCTAAAAGGCGTTAGCCAACCTAAGATCAACTGAAAGTATTCATACAACAATTGTGCCATTCGAAAGGCCAATAATCCAGTATTTATTGTCATTTGATGTTCTCACTACCATAGCATTTACATTGCCAAAATCTCTAAATTCTCTTCATGACCTAAATTATATTTAAACTTACAACACATTCTGGCTACTTAAATTTTCCGAAAACTTTGCTGCGTCTAAATTTTTATCAGAAGGTCTCAAAAATGTCATTAATCGATTGTCAGTTTTTGACATTATTCCTCATTTAAAAAGCTGTTGTTTATTTTATAGGCATAGTGTCATGCATTATAACAAACATCATTATTGAATAAACCCTAAAAGATTTCAGTACTACCAAAGATTTTCTTTTTTCTCGGATTGGTAAGTATGAAAATGGCTGAAAGTGAGATTTTAGCTCACTGCTGTCTAATACTAGACTACATGTTATGGCATTTCAACTAAGGGGATAACAGAACATGAATTCATTTGTCATGTAGGACTACATTAGTTAACTGTATCCGTTTAGTTGATTCATAGAATCCTTGGCTCTATATTGTTCAAATCTTTCCTCATCTTGCGGGAGCTTGACGAAATACCATGTATTAGTAAACGAATTGAATGGAGCTAAACATCTTCAGCAGTCTTTTCAGTACCACAAAGTCTGAACTAAATGTCAGGCAATTTTTTTTTGAAGGAATTAACTTAAGGTCATAAGCAGAGTTCACTGATTGAAATCATGAGTCAATGGAAGCTAGACCACCATAGAAAACCCTAGTATGGGACTCCTCTGCAGTGCGCATCCACGGTCCCGCACCCCACGAGATTCGAACCCAGGACCTATCGGTCTCGCTCCAGGCGCTTAAACGACTAAAGCAGATTGTTTGATACTTAATTCTACAGTATATAAGTTGTCAATATACCTTTTGATGCTAGCACGTGTTCTATACACCAGAAATATTTTTGTTCTTAGATGACATCATTGTTTTTGGATGAAGATGACGACGTGGAACTCACCCTTAGTTCCAGATATACAGTCTGAGTAATTTTCGCTAACGATAATGGAATGCGAGTGTATTCTTTAGGAGTCTCTTTAATGCAGACGGACGACAACAGATAGATACAGTGTAAAGAAATATTGCTACTCTACACAAGTTAAATAGTCATAGGCCATCTTACGTATAAAAATGTTCATTTTACGAATACCTGGTAGCCAGTTAGACAGTCAATTAGACTACAATTAAGTGTTGATTAGAACTGCAGCTAACACATCGATTGGATAAACTGGATTCGAGAAATATCAATTTTTAAGTATATTATAGTGACAAGGAGAAGCGTCTCACTATGATTTGTGATCTTGAAGCTATACTTGAGAGCGCATCATTAGGTAGCGGAAACGATGTCAATATAATTGTGGAATGTTTGCGGAACTATTTGTGATGATTAGAAGTATCTGAATAGTTATACGAACTAGGAATCCCGGAAATGACGCAAATAAGACCAGATAAAACTAGGTGAGCACAAACGAACGTGCTGTATTTGGAGTTCAAAGTCAGGCAGGCATCAAGTACAAAAGAATTGTTAGTTCATACAATCACCACAACTGCTACAACTTAAATTGGAATCTAAGTTTCAGTAACCAATTGTACGTATTCTCCTGAGGCTCATTGTATATCTGCCAGACTGTGCGTTGAATAAAGTATCTGTGTGATATAGAATATACTCATTAGTAGTAGAATTATTAAGTGAAATTGGAACGGACTCACCTGGGGCCTGTAATTTCAAATGATCAGCATGTAGGCTGTGTACTGACATCACTATTACATAAAAGTTGAACCACAGAATTTCCAAAAATATCTTCCTTCACGAAACAATGTTGGATCTTAATATCCCCAAGCTGTGCATAAGGTGGTTCCCTTTAGAATATATTTCTCACATTGACTTCGATTATTATTCTATGTGAGTATCTGGGGATACACACTGACATATAATTTGAGGCATTTCATCATGTGACTTTGACTTGCATAAAAATATGATACAAATCCCTTTGCTCTTCACGTTAAAGGACACAAAACCATTGTTCCAGTTATCAGATAATTGTACACTGATATGTGCAACTGACACACGTGATTCATATGCAAAACAACCAAATGAAAAATATGCATCTGCTTCATAATTATTAGGATAATCTTGGATATGATTTAAGTTTCCTGCCTATTCAAACTTCCTATCTGGGCAAACAATGTCTCCGACTGCTTCGAGAAAACTTGCTACCCCCTCGAATTCACCACATCACTGACAAATAATTACTCTCTACACATAATGATTGTGAGAATATCCAACATCTGTTAAAAGAACATCAGAAACGTGACTAGAAGTTGACTCATTTGGAATATGTTTGTCAAATTCATTATGGATATCACTAATGATGAATCCGTGATGAGGACAAATAACCTCTAATGCGACACCATAAGGACTGTAATAAGATTTTAACTCATTTAATACTTGTTCAACACATGTAAGAAAGATTTCACTAGCAATAAATGAAACATTATGACAAAACACAAGAAGCATGTGCATTATGAGGACAATGATATTTGATATGACATCATCAAGATTTCATTCTTCTGAAGTTTTTTCGTCAAATTTATCAAGAATGTCATTGGAGGGTAACCGATCATCAGAAAAATAAGCATCTATCAAAACTGCATCAGATTTTTCATCATGATTTAATTCATTCAGCATATTTTCCTCAGATTTATAAGAAATTTCATCAGAAATATGTGAGTCGTTAAGACAAACCATATCTAGTACGATAACGTGAGAAATCCGAGAAGACGTTGATTGACTAGAAGCTTTTGTCTCACAATGATAACGAGTTTCATTTAACTCTGGACTACCATATGGCTCTACACTGTTTTCCGAAGTCGTGGATAAAGGTGGATGATAATTAGAAACACTCAACTTAATCGGATCGGAGTTACAAAATTCAATATTGCTTGCAGCGAAATCAACAGTAGTTTTAAAAATTTCCTGGGTATGTCCAATCATAGACGACGCACAATTTGGTATGACCAATCGACAGATACTTGCCAGGACGTTGAACGTACATAATTGCTTGACAGTGGTCGGTTCCAGATAATCCACGATGGCTGCCTTCTTGCTTTTCAGAGGGCAGATGACTCGAGCTTTTATAGCGTATTGGAGAAGAACTGCGGGGTTGGTTCTAACCTGATATTTCTGAGTGTTTACATTGATGCCATGATTTTCGACTTGTCCGGAAGGTGTAAATGAAGTTTCTGTCCTGACATACGATTAAGAGATCATCTTCATAGAATAATATGAGTCATTATTTACACTAGACATGCCATTTTATGGGCAAGGTCGACTTTTTCACAAATGCTACAGGCCCTACTCTAATAAGTTACACAATGAGGTTGACATGCTAAAAAGCACATGCATAGTATAAACAGGGAACAACCTTTCGTACATAAGAATAATAATGCTAGTAAGACTGATTTTTGGTGTTTATGTTGCGACAAGCAATTAGATGTCGACAATGAATGGAATCAAATTTCAGGGCAGCCAGTCGAAGACACCAACTTGCATATATCAGTTCGTGCTTCTCGACAGTGTCCCCGGTTAAATTCCAGAGGTGTAAGCGATGGCGTGGTGCAAAGTCGTATGTTCCACACATGTTTTCTGTGGTATGGCACGAAGACGTTGAAAAAGACGGAGTGTCTGTATACGCGTAGCCATGTGGAAGTATTTCGAGAGGGTGAGCTGACTCTCCCCACTCTTGGTCGTACCAGGGCATTCGGGGACAATGACATAACTTACGTAAGATATAGGCATTTCGGAAGAAAATAGTGTACAATGCAGAATACAGAACGTAGGAATAGCACCATATTACATCTTAAAACTAAAAGCCTTCAAGTGACACTATGAAGGGTCTGAACACACAGAAAGTTAGTTTGTAGTAACCTGGAGACATCGTATAGGAAACTCGGCAGGCATAGTAACTTACAATCACGGATGGCCTATAAACACCTGGCTATATCTAACACATACTGCCTTCGTGATGTTTACCAACAGTTATTAACACAACAGGCCAACTAACTCACCAAAGGGAGCCACGTTATATCAATAATCTAAATGACGAGTGCGTGTTACTGACCAAGAGGCGGTTTCGTCTTTTAAGTGGTAGACGTTCATGTATGAGTGCTAACATATGATTCAGTCTAGCCCAATAAACTTCCTTTCAGTCTTAGTGTACCACTGAGTATATTGCATATAGGAAGTTTGTGTATGAGTATTAGTCCCAGGCACCGCACACCATAAGTTACTTCATTGGACGCTGTTTTCCAGATAAAATGTTGACAAGACGATTCTGTACATGTAATGGGAGATTTTACTAGTTTACATTATATGCTTGGATCCACTAAAGTTACCGGTTAATTTCTTAATAACATAGAACAAGACACTTTATTGCGAAGGTTTGGTCTCAATGGAGGATTAACAGCATAAAAATATAGTATAAACAACTTATAACAAATGTACAAATTATTGAGAACTTTAATTCTCAAATAGCAGTTTTCTTTAAAATTGTTCGGCGATACGATAAAGTGGATAAACAAGAAAGTAAATAAACGGTCTACTGATAACAACCCTACAAATATACTGAAGCGGTCACTCTAAACTTTTCGAGAGCATTCATGATCTAATTGACGTCTGTTACAGAACCAAACGCGAACTGATTCTCTATCACAGCCAATCCTCGATGCCAATTCAGTGAAATCAGTACCTGGCAATGGACAATAGAATAAAACATGAAATCTCACTGCCGTCATAACAACAAATAAATGGAAATCATAATGATTAATATTCTTATAGAAGATTACATTCCTATTTACAAGTCAAAACAGGACAGAAAAATCCCAAACTATCATAGAAGACTTGCAGATTATAGTATGCTGTGGAACAGTATAACACTGAGATAATTTGAGTAAAACATTTTAGTAAGATGTCAGTGTACTAGGAAAGAAAGCGAAGTTAAATATCAAATCTAAGATGACAATTTGTTGAAGTATATAATTTTGGTTTGTTTAACTTCTTAAAAGTTCATTTACAAAATTTAGTTGAGTTGCACACTAAAGTAACATAGAAATCATTAAAAAATAACTAGAAACGAAATAATGAACAAACTAAATAATTCTGTATACATAAATTATTTTGTCAAAATGAAATCTCATCCGTTAGAAAACTTAATGTGAAGGAAAATGCACAAAGTTATTGATGTGAATTACTTTAGATTACTCTGTTCTTTTATGTATAAATTAAGATACACGGGAAATTCGACGAATAAAAATTGTTCGTCAGCTTTAAGGTCGACAGAATAAGCCAAAGTAGCTTATAAAAAAATTCCTAACGTTTACTACTATTTGAATTTAGTACTGATACTGTCTCGATAGACAATAAAAGCTTCACGAATACGAGTAACCTAACACAGAATATATATATATATATATATATATATATATATATATATATATGACGAGTACATACCTTTTGGTCGAGTATTTGTAGAATAAAATTCAGTTAATATTGATAAAGCTTTTGGGGAAAAATAAGTACGGCGCCGCCGACATCTTTTTTGTTGTGGATCTGGTAATTTACAATTGGATTCAGATATATCAGAAGTTAGCTCCGAAAGTGAGGAATGATCTGTAGGACAATCGGCAACACAATCATTATCTTTGACCTAGAATAGGAACAAAAAGAAAGTTTAAAAGTCTGTAATTAAATATTCAGTAAAATTAAGTGTAAAACATTTATTAACATTTTATTTAAACAATGAACCGATCTAAGTTACACTATTCGTGAAAACCTGCAAAAAGTGGATGGCTGTTTCGTCCTAGCATGGGAATCCCTGAAAGGGAGTATCCACAACCCCGTACCTAGGAATCGAATCCGTGAACTTCAGTGTCACGCGTGAACACAACCTATAAACTACTGAACCAGCATCCGACAGTGTTAATGTCCAACTTAAAATGTCAGTTTCCACAAGAAATGTCGTCTATCAAACTGATTAAGAATTTGCTGTCAATTAAAATTATCGATTTTCTTTATGATTAGATCTATTCCGACAATTATCTGCAAATATATCCTTACTCTTACGGTTAGGAATTCAATTTTAAACTGAAATGTACAGGAAAGCTGCAAAAAAGAGAAAAAGTTTGTTACCACAAAGTATAGTTTAATGTTTAGTTATCGAGGATAACACGAGTAAATACGGTGCACTACATACAAAACCCAATAAAAAAAATAATCGGAAATCATATTCATTAATCTACATAGTACACTAACTTATCCTAAGTCGATACTTATATAAAAAAAATTCGGATGAACCCAAGTAACTGTTCTATAACATCCCTACTTACCTTAACAAAACAACATGATATTCAGGTGTTCACTTCTCCTAAATAAAATCTAAACGTTAATTAATAATAATTGTAGAAATTTTAAAACCATACTTAGTAAAATAATACACAAACGTATCACAGAGGTTTTATACTTTCACAAAAATGAATTACTGACAATTAATTTGGCTCCAGTAAAAACAAAAACTGACTAAAACGTCAATACTTAGAAAGAGAGGATATTTATATTAAATCTAAGTTTTAGGATAGGATATCACAATCTCTCTAGCCAAGTTAGATGACCTAAATCAGTGTTTAAACAAAATTTTAGTTTAAACTTTTAAACAATTTAACTTAGTAATCAAGTGTGGGTTTATACACTCAGCTTGGAATCAAACAATTCACGTAAGGATCAGTGATACTACTGTGGTGAACGAGAACACAAGTGGGGACAATCGAATATATTTGAACGCAAAATTACAGAATCTCTTAGCAACATCCGAGAACCATACAGTAAATAATATCAGTCAATCTTCTCAGACTTCATTGTTCCCCCGTTTCCACACCAATTATTCTCTGTTCTCGTTCTCTTTTCTCCGATCTTCTTTACCTTCTGCCGCCAGTTGTTTCACTTTCAACTGATGATACATGCCACTTATATCTATCGATATCAGTAGCACACACACCACACTGCCAGTAATGTAGTAGATGAATCCAGGTTTGAGCTTGAATTCGACGATTGCAAGTTGAGTTCTAGAATCACCGACTTTTCTATCCAGTACTTTATTCGGTGTAGATAAGTATTCGGTAGCCAGAGTTTAGTTGAAAATTAAGCACATTATTCACTAACTCTCAAAAGAAATAAATGACAGTTTCCTGTCTGCATCGGCCTATGATCTCTCAGAATCCAAGCTCAAACAGTTACTATCAAAAAGCTGCCATTGATTAATTTAAATTTCTGTTTGTGTCTATTCTTTTTATACGATTTACGCTAATGTGTTATAATTAATTTACTTGTGACTATGCTGTTATGATAAAATATTTGAAGTCAACTCAATTTGTGCAATTTTTTGCAAGGTTAATGTCTAAGTTAACCCTGAGGTATACTATGTACACAACCAGATGTATTTAATTTAATTTTAAATAGACTGAACTATCGCGTTGTTGATATTTTTACTGAAATTCGATCGGTCTTGGTTGACATATATGTATGCTATGCGGATTGTCTGATACAATTATTATGACACAAGTTAGTGTAGAATAGAAGGAATGTCCTTAGCAATGGGATCCGAAACGTGAGTTACTATCCGGATTCAGTAGCTAAGTGGATAGCATAATAGCGTCTTAAGCGAAGGGTACTAGGTTTGAGTTCCGAAGTTAACATAAACTCTGGGATGCAGGTACATCCAGCTGACGAGTACCAAATAGGAGGAAATGCGCATCCAGGATCCCATTGCTAGCCATATTCCTTTTATTCTATACAGATATATTTAGATAAGTATTTTTTTAGTCTCCCTAGCTGTCATTGAATTATGTTATGAGGCATTTTATGCATCAATGAAACTAAGCACGAGCCTTTTCAAACAGATAAACTAAGTATCCATAATATAATACACGCACTTGCCGAAAATGGGCTTAATGGTAGTTTAATAGCTTGATGTAGGACGAGGTAGTTTCATATCAAACTAGCTATTACGAATTTAACCTATCGCAAGAAATCATGGAGTTTGTGTGTATTCCTGTCAACTGGTGACTTACTTTGTTTTAAAACTCTAGCTTGCGATATCCTGTAACAAGATATCACACGTCCATATCATTACCAAACGTCTGCTCAAATTCAACAAACACTAAAACTTTAATCTGTAGAATTAAATTTTCCTAAAGTGACTGAATAAGTTACAAATACAACAATATGCTCTTAAATGGGGTAAAATTAATTGGCTACATTCAAATATTACGGTAGTGGTTAAGAGGTATGCACTAAAATAGTGGAGTTCGACCGGGTCAGTTGTGAGATAATAACTCACCGATGACAATGGTGGATGTGCCGCTCAATTTCATGGATTAGTTGGAGTTAGGAATTAACACTGTTGGATTCTGGCTTAGTGGTCTAGTGGTTAAGGGCACGCGTGAGACCGATAGGTCCTGGGTTCGAATCTCGCGAGGCGGGGTCGTGGATGCGCACTGCTGAGGAGTCCCATAGTAGGACGAAACGGCCGTCTAGGGCTTCCAGGTTTTCCATGGTGGTCTAGCTTCAAATGACTCATGATCTCAACTATTAAAATAGTTGAGTTATTTCAAATCCTATGATGTGTAAAGTTATGTATTTTATCAAGACGATCTTAGAAAATAAATATACTGGGAAAATGAACGTGTATTCTCAAAGTAAAGTATCCATTAATAGATAAACAAGAACCAATTATACTTACTGACCATGTTAGCAAGTAGTCTAGATGTTATAATTTGTGAAATTTCGTTGTCATTAGTTTTACAAATTAAACTAGTTCTCTTATGTTATCTGTACACTGACTGGATATGCACTAAGGTCTTTTAGAATAAGCATTTTGGGTGGTTGAAACTTTTTCACTACCTAGAAATGAAAAGGATTATTTGTAAGAAAAATTAAAAAACTAAATGACAAATGTCCTAGTCTCTCATTATTTCACATACAAGATGAAAGCACTTCTACTAAAGTATGTTCGCATACATTTTCATGCGCACATCAAAACAATTGTAGGAGGAATAACAGTAAGCTATAGCTTTAAGCAAAGTCAATGAATTAACTGCTATCTCTCTATCTACCTCATGATAGTTTGACTTTACTTCCACAAGATCAGTGATATGTAGTTACTCCGATTTAAATAAGAATAGTATTAACCCTAAGATTACAATAAGCTACAAGACGAGCAAAGCTAATGTTTAGGAATAATTTTAGATTAATTTGTGTTCTGTGTAACAAGAAAGACTTTCTATACACTTTTTGTAAGTTTTTTCGCACACAGGGAAAGATGCAAATGAACACACAACCGTTAAAAGATATCACAATGGTAAATAAATAAAAAAGAGAATTACTTGTTTTTTTACGAGAGCTAAAACAGATGAAGTTGAAGAAGAAGAGGATGAAGGATTATAATCGGTACGACCTAAACGAGCCAATGTAGTTAAACGGGAGTTGCCTACAGCACGTACAGGAATCGAATGATGAAAGACGGACAATTTTTCAATAGTGATTTGACCACATTGATTTTGTTCAGCATGTGAAATCCAACGTTTCAGGTAGGGCAAAAGCCGATAAGCAGATCTAACAGTGACATTTAACTTCTCAAACCTGATGAAAAAATTCATCAGAAAAAATTATTAAAACATAGATCCTCATAAAAGTACGTTTGATTTTATTTAATTCTGAATGTACTTGAAGTTCATTATTTTAAACAGTATATAACTTGAAGTAAACCAGAGATCTTTATGTAGAGTGACTAATGTAACTTATGTACCATATCTAGGTTTAAGAATTTCACTTTGAATTACACTATTTATGTGACGACTAGTAATACTACCCGACTGTCTAAACAGCAGTAGATGGAGCAGAATTCGAATCTGAAACCAACTGATTGAATGCTAAGTGCTTCGACTACTAGATCATCTCTCTACATGTTGAATTACTGGATTCAATACAAGTCAATGTATTAAGACTATCAGCCAACTGACTATTTATATGGTTGAATGAATGAATGAATAAAGTTGATCCATACTCTCTCTCTCTCTCTCTCTCTATATATATATATATATATATATATATATATATATATATATATTTATTTATTTATACATAGAATTTTTTTAACAAATTTATTTTTATGGTTGAACATTAGTTGATAAATAGTCAAAAGTATAGAGAAAAAATCCACAAACATTCAGTTAGGGGTCAATGATCATTAGGTAATAGGAAGAAATCTAACAATGCGAAATAAAAAGGTGATTAATATACAAAAAAGTGCATTACGATAAAACTGTAATGACATTGTTAGAAAATTGTTGACAATCTTCTACAGAGCTACAGTACTACAGTGAACATAGAAGTAGTGCACATTTTTTTTTAGGACAAATAACATTGCTTTGAAAATCTGAGTTGGCGAAATTTCAGTCATACAAAAATGCTATTCTTGTTCGTTTTAAGTTGTTTAGTAGAACTTCGATTGGAATTTTGATACCCATCTTTAGAGGAATAAGTGATTCAAGTTTACGAAGAAGCCTAACAAGACGGCACAGTCTTTGCTATACACGTTGGATTACGTTCAAGAGTGCTATGATCGATGCAAATACAGCGATAAATGCAAACTAATGTGGCTGCATGTGCTAGATTGTCGTTTAGAAGTTTCCAATGGTAAAATACAATCCAATGATCTATAGCGTTGAATAGATATTGACGTATTTAAATAGAGAATATCCTCAGCAGTGTCCACTAAGAAATCAAGATTTCGAATACCGAAGAAACAATGCGAGTATTTATGTTCAGCTTGTGAAAAAGATATTACAATAAATGGATGGAAAATAACATAGACATGAAGACACAATGAGATCCTAATAACTATTTTTTAAAGATAGTACAAACAAGCAAAATCAGTAAAATACAGAGTAGTGAAAATAAAAAAGTGATAAACTGTCAACAAGAAAATCGCTCAAAATATAAAAAAATAGCAGATTAAGACAGAACGAGGTGTAGAATGACAAAATTACCAATTAATTACAATCGATAAAACTAGTGTCAGGCATAGGAGATTAGATACATTTCTATATTTCTTTATAATACATACAATGTCAACAAAAACATTTAACATCAAATCAAGAATAAAATATGAGCAAGCTGTATGGGAACAGAATAAAAAACTAGACGTTAATATTTTTTTGGAATATTTTCATTCTCAAAAAAAATCTTACCTTGATAAAAGAGTTTGACTACATAAGGCTTTATCGTTAAAATGTTTTGAAAGCTCTATACCTAGTTGAACTTGTGAAAGACCTAAATGTAGACGAAACTCTCGCAAGCGTTTAACAAAATGCTCCAGTTCAGTTAAATTATGTCCTTGAATGATAATTTCTTGACTTCCTGATGACGTCATACGATTCTTCATTTTGTTCAAGAGTTCACAAACTGCAGAAAGACAAAGCATCCCATGAGGTATAAAAAAATGAGATATTTAAATGAATATTTGTCACTATGTGCATGTAGGTTGAAAAGATTATAAAAATGTTAGGATTAAGTAAATTGTTAGCCGATGCAGTTTTATGTTGGTTGAAGTTCCTTCCTAACAGTGATTTTATTGCAGTTTTTCCTTTTATAGGAATGTACAAAAATGTCATACTGGATCACTTGAGTTATCTGTCAACTTTCCCAGTAATTAATTTACAAAACAGAATTTATGGACTCTGTTGTCAAACAAGTCTAACCAAGAAGTGACCACAAGCACACTTTTATGCTTATGCACAATTAGTAAACATAGTAACAGAAGTCGTGAGCATTACTGTGAACTTGACCTCCTATCAACAAGAAAGAATGATATCAACTGTACAAGTAATAATATTTTAGTAAAAATTACAATAATTCAGTCATTTTAATTACAGATCATAGATTACTCAACTAAGTGAAAAATAACACCTTTTCATAGCAAAATAAACATTATATGAAAACCTTATGTGATTAAAATTGGAGTAATTCCAAAGTTTTATCCAGCAAGCTTGTCGGTACTCCCTCAGGACATCGGTCATCTTATTTATTTAAAAAACAGTGTAAACGAAAACTCTAGGTCGTCGAAATGTATGTAAAATGAGAAAAGTTGAACAAATAGTTGTGATAATAAACTTAAAGAACAATTTCTTTGTTGGAAACAAGGTAACAGCATTATAAACAGGATGGATAGTAATAATAATAAGGTCCAGTTATTTAGTTAAGCAGTTGCCAAAGCGCAGCTGATTGTATACCGTCTTTTCTGTTTAGGACCATATAATGTTATAACCGGTCGAGTACTGAAAAAGTCAGAACTTTAGGAACTATTTTCTGCAATATTATTGTTTTAAATCACTCAATAAATAAACCTTTATATTCTACGTATTATAAGCTTCTATCTGACCCACTAATCATCATCACACGTTTTATTAATCCTAGATTATTGCTAATCACTTATTTAGTTTTTCCGGTTCACAGCCACTTTTGGCTTGATCGTGTTGAGCTATGGTCTTCTATTTTATGGTATGACTTAGTCGAACTCGTCATGTGTATAAACCAATGAGTGCTTGAGATCACCGTTGGGCTAGTTCGTAGAAATATAACAACAGAGGCTCGGCTGCGAACCTCTTTTCTGGACTCAAGAGTGGAACAGATGTGTGTGTGTGGGCGAACCAAAAGTAGAGAAGTTCACGTTAGCTCAAGGTTAATAGTGTCGGTAAGGTCTCTGATCTATAGACAAATTAGTAGATATGGAGTAGGAAAGTTATAATCATAATTCTGATTGGCAAATTTAGCTAGTGGAATCAAGCAACGACGATGGGCCAATCAGAACAGCTTGAAGATGTAAGATTGAATACAATTAGCTGAGCTTTGGTAGCTGCTAAATTAACAAATATCTGATATGTCTTAGTAGTGGCCAGATATTTCATTTATTCACTAAAAATTCTAACTATTAATGACATGAAAGCGCACACAAATGTAATCATTCCTTTTCACAATGTGAACATTTTTCTACTCTGACGACTTCTATAATCTTACTATATAAAAACTAACATCTAGATAGGATTGGATAAACTCTCAATGTAGACTTATTTCTAAACCGGACAAATTGTCTTATAATAATGATGATTACCCTGAAGATGTTCAGACAAGCTTGCTGTGTGAAACGTTAGAACAACTTAAATTTCAACCACTGAAATTTTAAATAGAATTTTTACATATAATAACTTCTATGTACTTGATTCACAATTTTTGTGAAATATTTCGGTCAAATATGTAACGATTATCCATATGAAATTATAAAGCAGTTTTAAAGACTTAAAAGGACCGAAATCTATATTCCGATGTAAAGATTTTACTATCGCTACTTGGAATTGGACATATCGCAGAATCCTTGCAACATGCAAACTTTATTCATTGAGTGGAAAATTTGGAAGTGCTTTGAGTAGTTTATACTGTGGTCGCAATGTTTCATTACAGTTATGAGTTCGATTAGATTGTAAACTCATCATAAATTACCTTGTGAACAAGAAAATGAACCTAATTAATAATTACAGAAACGAGATAAACTCGTTTTCTAAAAGTCAACTATTAAAATTGAATAAATGCTTCTAAGACACTGAGATCTTCATCAATATCGGTTAGTTAACAGAATTCACTAACAACTGCCAATGAATGAAACTTGAAAGTTAGGTAATTAAACAAGTCAATTGTCAAGGTACTAACCAATTGAACAAAACATGGAACTAAATAGAAAAGGCCAACCCATAACAAACAATGCTGTTAAGTATGAAAGAGACAACGTTAGTTACCGATTTGTCCTAAAAATTTTGATCGTGAAATGCGAGACGAGGAATTTTTACTTTTATTCATATTAGCTGAACTGTTTTCACATTGTGGACGGGGAATGGTAGAATTAGCTGGATTTTCTAATTCTGGTACGTTCAAAGATGATGAATTAACTACTGTCTGTTGTGAACATGTTTGAACATGAGAAACATTTGTGCAATCCAAAGCTGAAGACTGTATATCTGTCCCAATACGTCCAAATTTACTAGGGAAGTTTAAATCCAATATATTTGAACAATCATTTACTGAGAATTGTGATATTACATTTTCTTGGTTTGAGAGACTTTTATCCAAAGATAGATTTGTTGGTAAATCGGATGAATCATGTGAAAATTTGATATGTGGAAGTTTTTTAAGTATGTAACTTCCATTGGAATGTTCAACGAAGAAGTTTGCCAAAATTAAATGACCTACATGGTTAAAATTGTTATATAGTAAAAAAATAGTTGACTGGAGATTCGATGGAATCGGTCAAAGAATATGTATTTATTGAAGTCATGATCCTAAAACAAAACGTTTATTTGAACGAGTTCATCATTAAAAACTAAACAGTTGTGTTAATATTAAGTAATATGAAGAACAATTTTGTTTGTTAGTACATGTGTGAGTAATAAGTTGAATCCCTATAGTGTAGTCCGTATTAGATATTATATCTTCAGAGAGAAACATTGGGGTTATGAATGGGGTATATTTACACAAAAAACATATGGGTGATCAGCAGTAGAAGTCTGATTCATTTTTTAGTTCACATAAAACAGGAAAGAAAAGGAACACCAGCACACTAGAGCTAGCTTTGTAGAAAATGGCCGCTTTCTATGGTTTATAGAAAGAAATATAAAGCGATTCAGGGGTTATCACGACAATAAATAAACCTTGATGGAATAGATGAAATATATAAGTCGTATGGCTAGGTTACTACCACAAATATTCCGAACAGCTCCTTTGGGAATATCTTAAACTATATGCTTATTAGTAGATATATCCATAAAAGACAGACTATCAAAACTGAATGATTCAATGTGCATATATCTGTTTACCTGCTCTTATGAAGCTAGGTACATAAAGACAGCACCATATAGATGATCGGATCGTTGCTTCCTACCAAATTCTGAAGGAAAAAACATACTGGTACCTTACAGTAATTACAAGAAAAATCAGTCACTGCTACTGTTCAATGAGTTATCAAGTTGTATCCACCACTGGAAGAAGAGCAACTTTTTGAGCAGTACAAATAATTCAACCAAGAAGAACTATCACACTCTTTTCAAAGAAGAAAAAGTTCAGGCCAGGAAATCGACAAAATTATTTGAAAAATATGCTACATTAAGTGTACTATCAGTGTAGAGTGAAACAACTGTTGTGCTGAGCTTTAAAAAGTGTATGAGATAGTTACTGGAGTAAAATTTGGCTGCACCAAATCTTAAAAGCTGAATTGTATTTTGATCGAAGTCAAAAAATCCATTATACACACTGTATGTTTCAGATTTCATATTATTAACAAATTGGTTCTAGACCCTCAGTCTGAAACATACTTTGCACCATAAAACCATAAAATAAATAAGCCAGAAGGACAAGAATCTGTGACTGAAAAGGAGTCATTAGTCTAAACACATATTGGCATTAAGATGTTGCTTCATGAGTTTCGCAAACTGTTGTTTTACTCTTCTGAGTGTCTTTGGTCCCATTTTCATAAGTTCAAGTAAAAGGGAAGTTAACTAATAGAGAGTAGATACAGTTTACTTACAAAGATGCTGGTACACAAGCTTACTCTATGATGAACACTGATAAATACGCTAATAGCAATCGTTATTTGATGAAAGGTTAAATTGAAATCACGACAGAATACTGTACTCGAAAACTTAGGATCTTAAATGGATTGACCTTTAAGAATTCTATATGCCTATACTTTTATTTGGCAACTACGATATTCAGTCAAACAATATGCATTTCAGAAACTATTGTCCTTACATAACTATGCTCGTATCAATTTGTAGAATACTCAGATCTATGAGGCATATAATATAGTAAAGGGTAAAGTAACATCAGTCTCTGCTGCATTATATTGATTAAGGTTCCACCAGCACACATCTAACTAGAACAGTCATTAAATGAAGATTAAAACAGGCTGCAAACACTTACCTATTTCAGATATATAAAAGAGAATATCATTAGTCCCAGGGAAAGAAATAACTTCTGAAGAGAGGAAAACACAATTATAGGTTGTATTTGAGCCAGTTTCTTCGAAAGAAGTGTCATTCACACTTGAAAGATCCAAAGCCATAACTTTACGAAATGCAATTTTAAAGTATACCGACGAATAGTACTTATACACCTGCAAAGCAAAATTTAAAAAAAATATCGGGGCCTATAGTCACCGCGGATGTGTAATGAGTGTGAACAACCAAAAACTAGACCAAACGTAATGTAGGTGTTGTTGTATAGCATAAGACACTTAGATTCAACTATTTATCAACTCACTGTATCACTGGCTAAAAGCAACAGCGATTAAAATACTAAAAGTAATGAGACGATTGCAAGGTGCTACAAACTGAGTTCGTGCCACAGGAAGAGGAATCACGAAACACTACAGCACAGACATTGACAGGACCTATAAATGGTATGCATAAATGACTCCTAGCTATGAAAGTTAAAGTTTTACACTGTGATTTGAAAACAAACGGGTGAGTACTAAGCAGATCATGCCGTCCTATTCTTAAATTTGGCTTTATTCCGTTGCTATAGTGTGTCTACATGGGTTAATGCAGATTTATGCCGCGTTGATTATGACTGACTTGCAAACCATTGAAAATAAAATTTCCAACCATATTTTATTTAAGTCATTTTTATCGACTGCAGCACGTACCAAATCATACCACAGGGGACCAGTGAGCAATGAGACAGGCAAGTATGCCAACTGACAAGATTACGAAGAAGATACATGCAAGGGACAAACGAAACGCATCCAACTGTTTCCATTTTTATGTAATTTCACTACTGTTACAAAGGTGCAAGAGAAAATATCTATTGAGGTTGATAGGTATTTCATCTCTTATTGGACTCTGGAGAGAACCCTAAAATTGGGAGATTGTGAAGTTGATGATTTACAAACTTTTTGCCTTATGAGGGACATTTAGGTCAAATGTCTCACTATTTCCCCAACGTACGTGGGAAATGAGCTTTGGTTGCAATGCTCCCCAATTAACACTAATTATTTTGGCTACTGTTGTCTGTACAGGAAACATTGGGAAAATACATGTATTTCTTTCCAAAGTTCACTTTTATTTCACAAATCTTATTTAGTTGTGTCAAGAAATGGCTTTTTAATAAATGACACAATTGGGGAGGAAATTATTAATATATCACAGTTTACTTTCAAGCTAATTTGAAGTAAAGCTCCACAGGTTTTGTATGTGTTACCAATGACTAGACATTCGAAGACAAATGGGCAACCTTGAAGGTTTTGAAAACTGCTCACCGTTGTACAGGCTCAAATGACTGCTAATGAAACAGCATAAAAATACACTCAAGGTTGAGGATGGCTGACGCAGACTAGTCGATTATGCCACATGGACTGGCTCATGTCGTAACACCATTACTGTGCAGTTCTTTGGTATGTTCTCGCAGATAAATGATTTTAGTTTGACACTATCCTATTCGTTCTGGTTAGTCAGAAATCAGTTTCAGTTTGGAAAGGATTAGAGGCTAGGTGGCCTGTGTTAATCCTAACAACAGTGGTCTCTCAGTTGATTTAATTTTGTTTTTAAGGCGTTGACAGATGGAACTTTAACCACATGTTGAGGTAATGAATTCCACAAGTTGATGATTCGATGGGAACGTCGATAGTCAGCCAACAAGTAATTTGTTCTGTGCCTGTGAACTTCTTTACAGTGTCCTCGTAAATTCTCTGTTTTGTAAGACAATAAAAAATGAGGGAATGTAAGGTGCGAATTCGTCACTAAGTAATTTGAAAACTGTTATCAACTCACCTCTAGTGTTTTGATATGACAGTGGGATTAGGTTTAGCTTAGCCAGTTTATCATCATTCACGGGCTTTGCCGTCCTACGAATCAGATTAGTTGGGATTCTTTAGACCCTATCTAACCGCTCTGTCTCTTTTTACACGAGGACTGGCCTCTTGCGTGCAGCACTAGAGTTTGGGACTCACGAACACTGTAAATATACAGAACTATCGACTCTATCGCTGTGACAGTGAAACTAAGCGGGGAAGTGGTTGTATTATATATGCTTTGGATCCCCTAACAACTAATAAAGTTGAAGATAGTGTCCTGAATAGTTTACCAGAATCAGTCGGGATATCAGTCGACTCCCTTAATCATAGTCTACTCCTTGGATGTATATACAGAGCTCCTGATGGTTCGAATAATGGGAATGATCTTATTATCAATGCATTCATACATGCATCTGCTCTTAACTTTAATGCTAAGGTTATCACTGGGGATGTCAATTATCCTGCGATTAACTGGAGTGCAGTTAGTTGTCAGTCATGTAATGATGAGTTCTCGGCAACCATTAACATGCACTGCTGGTCACAGTGGGTTCGTACCCCAACTAGAGGCGATAGTATATTAAGTGGAGATGTTATTCCACTATCTGTAAAAGTACTTGATGAAGTTGAAAGCAGTGACGATAAGATAGTAGTCTGCACTCTCCCTATCTATCCGTCTTATAGCCGAACTATTCAAAAAGCCTGTCAATATAGAGAATATAAGCATGCTGACTGGGACCTCTCCATTTCAATAAACGCGCTAAAGCAACTCAAAATGTTGATATACCATGCAACCAGCATAATAGCACTTTTATATACGATTCTAAAACTATAGCAGACCTTTTCAGTGGTATTTTTGCGAATGGTGTAGAAAACATAAGTGGCTATGCTTCAAGAATTATGTGCGTGACTAGCAACTCAATAAAATATACCTCCTCCATATGCATAAAAATTAATAAGGCTATAAATACCCTTAGGCTTTCGAGAGGTCATAGAGCAGACGGCATTTCATCCTTCCTCTACAAATATGGTAGCCCAGATATTCCACTTCTTCTTCTAAAGCTGTTTATTCTCTCTATGGAAAATGGTTCTTACCCTTACGGTTGGAAAACCGCGTAGATCATATCACGTTACAAATTTTGAGATAAGACTGACATTAACAATTATTGGCAGATAAATATTACTCCAGTTATCTCTAGGATTATGGAAAAAATTATAAGTGATGAGCTTTCCAACTACTTACTCGCTGGAAAACTCATCAGTGAAACTCAACATGGATTTCTTAAAAATTGATCTTGCATGACATGCCATTTTGACTTCTTTAATTTAGTCTATTCTCTACGTAACCAAGGATATCTAGTCTTAGTGCTATATCTGGACATTTCTAAAGCCTTTGACGTGGTTAGCCACCAACTTCTTATAGTAAACTCGCATCTTACGAGGTTCAAATCATTTGCTAGCTTGGTTTGAGTCCTTTCTCAGCAATCTACATCAAATAGTTAAAATTAACTCTTCATTGTCTAACGCTGTCCCTGTTAGAAGTGGTGTAATACCAGGTAGTGTCTTAGGTCCTTTGCTCTTTTTAGTGTTTATCAATGATATTTGTGAAAGCTTTTGTGTCGGTAAGCCGCTTCTATATGCAGATGATCTCAAAGTAGTATATTCATTTTCTCCAAATGAGCTGAACAGTATGCGAAATTGCGTCAGCATGGAGCTTAACAAGATAGTACAGTGGTGCTCAAAATGGCAACTGGAGCTTAATACGGCTAAATGTGGATGGATATGCTTTGGTGATACATCACTCAACCTAGACATTACCATAAATGGCGAAGTGTTATCTAGGTTACATACAGTAGTAGACTTAGGACTTAGATATTCCCAAGACTTGTCGTTTACAGAACATATATTAAAACAGACCTCTAAGTCTCAATGTCTAATAGGTTACATAACTCGAAACCTTTATAACAATGAGTCACGTATTCTAATGCATAAAGTTTGTGCTCGACCTCTTCCAGAATATTGCCCGTTTATTCTTAGCAGTGCGCGCATAAAGGATAAATTAAGGCTGGAATCAGTACAGAGACGATTTACACTTCGTATTCTTGGAGCTGATTGTACCTTAACTTTCAATTCTAAATGTAATAAACTTGGGCTAAACGCTTTATGGAAGAGCAGACTCGAACCAAATCTTATCTTTTTCTTCAAACTACTTAATAAAATATCCTTTACATCCAACCACGTGATTCAATATGCATAAGCTTCTTATTATGACATCCATAATTCCTTGTCACTAGTGAAACAAAATTATCCTAAATCATGTCTTTATACGGATTACTTTACCTGTAAATTTTCTAGACTCTGAAATAACTTACCACAATCTATCCGTACGATAAAATCACTCCCATTATTTGTTCGCTGCATCGATGCATACTGCTCCTCTGATAACGCACTGAATGTTCTAGCACCTGTAACTGTATCTCATCCCATAAGTGATATTATAGGAACTTTAAATGTTTAGCCATCTTTATTAGTGCATTCCCTAAGTAAAACCACCTACTTGCTGTCACTTTATGTTAACACCGTCCCCAGCAAGTCTAACTAATTTGAACAACATCAACAGTATATCACTGTGTCACATGACACACGCATTTTGGTAGACCTGATTGATATATTTTGGTAATTACTTCTTTGTTGTTCCGTGCTCTCTGTTTTCGTTTTAATTTCTCTAGTTGTAGATAATTATCAGTAATTCGATACGGAACACAAAATGACTTTAATTACACCGTTCATCAATCAACAGGCTGTCCATTTAAGAAAAATTAAACGTTCCTGGCTGACGCATTGAATCGCTGCAATACATGTACTTTTAGCGGCCCGTGGATCTGACTCCTATTTAGATCGTATAAATGATTGTTATCGCCTTTTCTCGTATATCATCGTCGACTTAAATCACGTTAGTCAATAACGGAATTTAGATAAGTCAAATACCGAGAATGGGATTAGAAGGGCACACACATATACGCTCATATAAAAAGTCTAGATTGATAAGCGAATAATTGACAAGGTCAAAATATGACTCAAGTAGAATGAATAGAATGGTTTGTCCAAAAACTAGAATAAGATATATGGGCTTAAAATAATGACTGACACTACATACTACCTACACAATTACTGAACTAGTATACTTAAAACTTTCTTCTATCACATGTTTGTTATGTACATTTAATGCTGCTATTTACATCAAATTGATCATGCCTATAAACTGACGTGAGTTC